CTCTATAATTCCCTATGCAAATAAAACTAGATTTGGCTTCGTTTTACCATTGTTCCAAATAGGTTTTCTATTTTTATCAAAGAATACAAACAAAAAATATTTTTATGGAATGTCTGTCTTTAAGTAAAAGATGTCTCTTCGTTTTTTTTTTTTTTTTTTTATTTCTTTTTCTTTTAAGAAAAGCTGAGATTTTGGAGGACAAATTCTAAACTGAAGTGATGAGGTTGGCTGACTGTTGAGTGACCAGACATAACATTTTAAATATGCTGCTATTTACTAAATCTAGTCTGGTACAAGGCATTTATATTGTGGAGGGCCAAGTGAAAGCTATTGTATATGTTTGAAGTTTGTTGAATGGTTGTTGTCATAGAAAAAAAGTTTGTTTTTTAGAATGTATGTTAACTTTTGATTAGCGAGAGATTTTATGTACATTTTGACTTTGTACTCTTTGCATTTTAGTGTTATTTCATTTGCTTTTGTCTTTGTACAATATGTTCAGTTTTGCATGGCATTGTTACAATGAAATATGTTGGATTTATTTGGATTATATGTTGCTTCACTGACAATTTTCTTGGCTGTACAGAAAAGGAAATCAAGTCAAAAGAAGAATTTACAACACATTTTCTGGTTTACATGACAAATACTGTTTTTTATACTTGCTCTTAATATTTTGTTTAAACAGTATTTTATGTTTGACACTTTTTTTTTTTTTTTTTTTTTTTTTTTTTTTCAAAGATTAGATTTAAGCCATTGTGGTGATGAAGGAAAAACCCAAACCTTATCTTGGAAAAGAATTTGTTTGATATCTGCTGAAAAAGAAAATTCAAATTGATATTGGGCTGACTTTAGTAGGCTTCAAAATATGGTACTTATTTGCGGTTCCCTACCAGTCTTGACAACACAACTTTTCTTACTCCCAATAAAAGATTGCTACTTTAGACCACAGGACAGTTTTTAGTTCTTCATGGGTAAAGAGGTAGTTGTGTATTGTGACGTGAATTTTTTTTTTTTTTTTTTTTTTAACCCTTTTGATTTACAAACTGGAAATGACCAGTCTTCCTCCTCATGATTCTCAAGTGACCAATATATATATATATATATATATATATATAAATCAAGCCATTCTTCTATGCACATGACCTGACTGTTGTGTTTAAGCATGAAACACTTTTGCCATCCTGTGTTGATGTCTGTTCACACTGCTTATATTTACAATTAGGTATGTCTGTGCCTGATATTGAGCATTTTTTTTATAAATATAGCATAACTTAAAAACTATATTTTATTGTGCATGTATATTGAAGTTTTTAAAGGCATTTTTAATAACATTGGTTTACTGTTAAAAAACAAAAAACATCGTCATATCTATTTTCACAACTTAAATTTATAAATGCACATGAAAGAAATAATTCCAGTTATAATTCCAGAAATACAAGATGTACAATGACATTGGAAGGGAAAAGTTTTCAACTACAAAACTCTTTTCTTTGAGGTAGTAACTGCCATTGACTATGCATTTTTGATGAACAAGAACCTCTGCATGGCCTCTCATAATGTGGCTTGTCACATGTTATTATCACAAATGCTGAAATGGTCACATCCACTGTTTGGTCTCTATAAACATTAAAATATCAATGGGTGCAATTCTTTCCACATGTAGGAGTTCAGTGATATGCCCCTTTTTTATGTGTACTTTCTTGTCAGACTGTACTTTGCCAAACAGTTGCTGAGCTGCTGTCTGTAACAAAGCAAAAAAAAACAATGTGAACTCAATTTCTATTGACATACTATTATCATCTGTTTTATATATATATATATATATATATAAATAGAAAAGTGGACACTGAAGTCAACACCCAGAGACAAGTCTATTTCATGCTAAACATAATCATCAGGGCTTATATATATATATATATATATATATATATATATATATATATATATATATAATATGAGAGAGACAGAGATCATATGTTGACTAGCATTTGAACTCTGGTATATTTGTTTAAAATTGAAATTGTTATCTTGTGTTCTTAGAGGCACATTTTCTGTGCTTTAATTGATTATTTAGGCACAGTAATGTCATTTGTCAAAAATATCATGGAGAAATAGTTTAAAAACAAATAAAAAGTAAATGGAAAAAAAATTTTTATATAACTTTGCATTTACATGACATCAACACAATGGAATTCTTTGCTACTTCCAATGGTATATATTTTCCCTAAAAAAATTCTACATTTAAAGATTTAAAAAAAAAAAGGAATTTCTTTCAATTTATTTTTCCTTTCTCCCCTCCCCACTTTTCTACCAACAATGATGATTTTGGTAATATCCCTTAGGATGCAGGTAGCTTATTAATGTATTCTTTAGATTGGAACACTGGTGTATTGACTAGTTAAAAAAGCATATGATATGAACAGGAGTGTGGGTCACTTTTAATACATAGGTCACCTAAAACCATGGACTTCATGTCAGAGTTTGACTATGACTGTGGCATTTTTTTGTGTGTGTGTGAGAGAGAGTACTCATTTTATGATGGGAAATATTAAAATTGTGATGAAAAATATTTTTTTCTTCTGGGTCCACAGTTATATACCTGCAAGTTCTTGATGCTTACCAAACAAAATAAAGTTAGTCTGACAAAAGGCCACAAGAATGGTGCACTAAATAAAGATCACTGCAAGATTAGGTTGCTGCTCCTTACTCTATGACGAGGCACCCAACAAGAATAGTTTATCCTGTTATATTCACAAATTACATTGACATGCAGATGAACTTGATCTTCTCAGATCCAGTTTGTTGAAGTCATTCTAATTGAACCAAATGAATCTAAATATTGTAATGGTTATTTTTATGATTTACTTTTCTGTCAGTTTTTGTTTTTTGCCACCATAAATATTTCTGGTACCTTGACTTGTTTATGGTTTGTATCATTAATTTTTTTTTTTTTTTTTCTTTATTTTCCCATTTATTATTTTTATATCTTACATTTATTAATTGACTAGTCATTTGCATGATTTTGAAAGTATTCATTTATAAACATTCACTGGTAATTAACATTTAAAGGATGATTTATCAATCTTTGTAAATATTACTTGCATTATTTATATTATTCAGACTGTTATCCTCATCTTTATTGCCATATTCACAGCGTTTCAGCCATTGTATGCTTCAGCCTTTATCGGGTGATTGGAATTTCGAACTGGACCCTTTATTTCGTTCACTGGGGGTAGATTATTCTAGTTCCACATGCCATGCCTCTCCTGGGTGTCTCACTTATTTCCCTTTAGCTCAACTCCAAGTTTTTGGTTCATCACTGCTGCGGCCTGCTATTGAACTCGCAACTCTTTGGGTCTAGTCACTGGATTTAACCAACAACTTTATCCACTGGCCAATCCATCCCAGTGGATGAAATAAAGGGTTTGGTTCAAAATTCCAATCATCTGAAGAAGGCCAGAGCTTACAACGGCCGAAATGTGAATATGGTTATGAAGATGAGGACAACCGTCCAAATAATGTAAATAATGCAAGTAATCATTAATACCTCATCACAGAGATATAGACAGACTTTGTAAATATGTATTTCATTTTGTAACCTATTTACTGTCATTGTATGAAAGTAGAAATAAGTTTATAAAATGATATACAAGAGAAAGAGAGAAATTAATGTATATCTATATGGACATAAGTTAAGAAAGAACCCTTTCTACCCATGACACACTTCTAAAGTTAATGTTTTGCGTAAGATTTCTAACAGAATATAATTAAATATTAGCAATGTTTTTGAATACATATTTGTTACATTTATTCATACAATATACTATGGAGATCTTTGCATCTGTTTATATCTTATATATACATTTAAGATTTTCTGTATCAAAATGATTGTGCAGATAGCTTGATATTTATATTGACAAGCCAAGTACAGATTTTGGCTGAGGCTTTTCTATTCACTTTTTATTAATGCTCTTGTTGGAAGGTATAAATCTATCTCTTCCCTTCCCAGCTATAAGAAAAATAGTAGTGAAGACTGGATATTTTAACCTTGATAGGGCATCTAAATGCTAACTCTGAATTTATACTTTCTGTCAAGAGATCATGGATGAATACAGCATGTCCCTCTCAGGTTTAACTAACATTGGGTAAAGCCAAAGTCCTGCAATCGCCTGCTGACAAAATGGCCAATAATAAAACGAGTAACCACTTGACTGACTGAAAGTTCTAACATATTTGTTGAATGAATCCTACCAATAAATTACATAAATAACTAATGAATAATAAATGCTGATTTAGCTTATTTATTTACACTATTTTCCTCATCTTTGTTGTTATTATCATAACATTTTGACCATTGCACTCTTTGATCTTCATCATGTGTTTGTTGATCTTATTCACCTTCATGAAATATCACCTTTTGAATCCTTTATTCAATCTATGGAAATAGATTGTTCTGATTCTGCAGACCATGTCTAGGGACATTTCATTTAGTTTTTATTTAGGTCTGCTCAGTTATTGTTTACCCTGTTTCACTCCCATGACAAAGATGAGAAAAATAGTCCATATGTAAATAACAACTCTTCATCCCAGTAATTCAGACAGAAATAATCTTATTTATAAAGAAGTAACCAAAATGGTGATATTTTAAAGCCATTCCTTCTAAAAATGAAAGTATCCCAATCAATTATAATTTTTGAAAGAATAAATGTCTGGAGTTTATCAGGTCTCTTTTTCTTTTCTTTTTCCTTTTCTAACTTCTTTTCAATTGTTAACTTTTGCCTTTCATTTGTTTTTCTATATTGAATTGTTTTCTTAGCTCACAGATCATCAGAAACTGTGGATTAAAAATAAAGACTAAATCTTCAGTGAGATTATTTTTGTGGGGGGAAAAAGAAAAAGTAAAAAATAGATACTAATTGACAATGTTTTTTGTAAGAAATACCTGTCATGCTTGAATTCTTTCCTCACATCATTATCTTATTTGCTTTCTCTCTTTTCACCAGGAGTGGAACTGGTCGATCTCGTCGTAAGGTTCGAGGAGTTAGTCCTGATGCCAGCCGACACCAAAAAGGTTATTCAATTAAATATCAGGAAGCAGAACCTGTCGAGAATGAGGAATATAGTATATCATCCAAGAAGTCCAAAAATCGTAGTAGAAAGAAAAAATCTCGTGGGAGAGTTGCCGACCCAAACAAGTTCAGTAGCGACGACACGGATAACAATAGTTACCGAGATGATGGCCCTAATGTCTCCTCAGATGAACTTGAAAAAACCCCTCGCAGTCTACGAATGCAACTTTTGCAATCTCGAATGACAGAAGGCAATGTTTCCGGGCCTAAACAGAAGAAATCAAAGAAGTCAAGCCATAATGAAAAGAAGTTTATAGATTCTGCAAGGAGCAGTACAAAAGGAAAGAAATCGAGACAAAAAGATGAATATGACTTTTGCTATGATGAGGCGGTTAGTGTAAACTCTAGTGATGAAACAGAAAGTACACCTGCACGTCATTTCAACAACGATCAAACAAATTCCAAGACTAGTCCTATCACTTTGAAACTGTCCAAGCTCGATTCCAAGAAATGGTCACGCAAGACTGAATCAAAAAGCAAGAGTGCATTTTCTAAAAGCAAGAATCAAAGTGAACAGTCAATCACCGATGCTGACGACTCTGATATGGTTTCATTATCTTCAGAGAAGTGCTGGAAGAGTGAAACACCTAATCAACCTCTTGGGAGTCCTTCATGCAAATCAGATGCCTCATCTGATGATACAATAGAGAACAACCCTGTGCCTAATATGGAATTGGCTCAACAGGAATACAGCAGTACTGACGAAGAAGAGACCAAAAGTTGTGATAAACCTGTCCGTAGTAAGTTAAAGGATACAACCGTTTCTTTGGGTAAGTATGATTCCGACCAAAAGTGGAAGGTCCAATCTTCGGATGGTGCTGCTGTCAAACTCACCTGTAAAAAGTCCAGTACAGGTGTAATGTCTGTTCACAAAGAAGAAAAACCCTCTGTATATAGTCCCTCCAAATCTCATGGCTCAAGTTCTGTTGGTGGTACCACTCAGAAAAACTATGATGCTGTTTCAAGTGGTGAAAGCACGGAGATTGAGGAGTATAATGACATCACTGTTGTCCGTGCAGACAACAGTCCTCTGCACCAACCAGTACCAGCCAGTAAAACTGAGGACAAACATGAAGATGAATTTTTCAGAGTGGGTAATCGAAAAGCTGAAAAACTCAGGGGTGGGGATACAGCATCTGGGGAAGGTCTAAAAAACCCCTCAACTCCAAATGTAGAAAAATTAGCTCGTCGAGGTGGAGATGATAGACCAGCCTCTCAAAGAGTTAGCGCGAACGTGGAACTGGCAACACGAAGAGCTGAAGAGTCTAACCAGTCACAGCCTTCATCTGTGCAGAAACGAAAACCCGGTCGGCCAAGAAAAGTCACACAAAATATACAACCACCCACCCCTGATAATGATGAAGAATTCAGCACCCCAGCCCCGAAAGACGTGGCTGAGACAGATGGGGGTTCCTCAAAGAGAGCCAGGAAGAAACCATCTATGTTTCATAACTATGAAGTGGCTACACCACGTCGTAAGCAAAAATCGCCACGTCGGATTATCCTGAATGTTGAACAGAGCAGTATGTATGATGCAGAGATGGATGCGAATTATGATGAGTCTGAGTTATCTCCCCATGAAGAGAATGAGGACAACAAAGAGGACACATTGGCAAAGATACAAATGAAAAAACAGGAGGTATGGAATTGTTTTGTTTTTTTGTGGTGGGGGGTGTTCACCCTAGGGAATATTGAAACGGCCACTCATAAATTTCCATTCAGAGCAAATTATTTTTTTAAATTTTTTTTTTAATTCCTTTCCAGATAGCATTTTTCTAAATTTTACATGATTTAATATAATTTAAATTTAGGACATAAGATTATCTCTGCAAGCTAATCCTCTATATCAGAGCCAGTAGGATTCTGTTTTACATGCTTATGTGTTGTGTCTACATATTCATGTATATGTCTTGTGTGCATGTCTTTATATGTTTTCAGCAACACATATATATATATATATATATATATATATATATATAATATATATTACCCATTCTCACATCCATGCATGTAGCATTGAGAATTTGTGGCAAATTATTCTACATGTGTACAATATGCACTGCTTCACAGCAGTTACACTTGGGAACCAAGAACCAAGAGCATTGGTCTTGTGGCGGATCCATTACAATGACCGCTTGATGACTTACTGGATCTGCAGCATTTAGCCTCAGTATGAGACCCCCCCCCTCATCTGAGTCGTTAACAAGGCTCGGTATTAAGGATATAACATCAGTGCTGCGCATCTGTTGTCTTAGATGGTTTGGTGATGTCCAACAAGCTTTGTCTTGCATCAGCACTTCCTCAGAGTTCAGGATTCCTGGTCACAGAGGTTGAGGTAGACCTAGGAAGACATATAAAGACTGCAATGGGAGGGATGTGCTGGAGTGCAGCCTTGTTCACTTGACAGGGATGCTTGGGAAGAAGAAATGAGAGCTAGCTGACTGCTGCCTACCCCCAGTCACTGGGAAACCCACAGCAGTATAATCAAAGCTCCAGATCTTGACTTGACTGATATATGTATGTGTATGTTTTTCTTTCCTATTAAATGTTCACTTGGTACAAGGCTTAAGAGCCAGTCAAGGTAGAGAGTTAATGAGGTTGTTGTATGGGTGTAAGAGGAAGAAGTAAGTGCAGATTATGTGAATATGTATATTATCTAACAATTGACCCTAGACTTGAAGAGGTTTATATTGTAGCAATCAAGGAAGCATTCTCTTGGGAGTCTGTTCCACAAAGTAGCAGTTCTCAAAGAACCTTTTTGGGTTGAACTTACAAATGGAATATAGAGGGAATGAGGCTGAGTTGACTCTATATGTGGGGTACTGATGTGTCCCACCTGTAAAGGTCTGAATTGGTGGAACTAAGGAATGTAGTTCATCTGAACATTTGCCATGGAATAAGATAGCAATAGGCTTAGAATATTTCATCTGTGGGAAAGGAGCTGCAGGGTTGAAAATAATGCATCACCCACAAGACTGTGTAAATGTTTTTCAATCAAAGGCTGGAGAGTGAAAATTGGGCAACTCCAACCCAGATATCGCAGCAATAGTCTATTTTTTAATCTAATCTGACTTTTGTAAAGAGACTACATGGCAGGAGGAGTCAAAGTACTCTCAGGAATGGTACTAGTAAGCAACTATTTTTTTTACTTTTTGTCTTTAGTAATTGATATGAGTTCTACTTGAGGTCTGAGATAAACTTGAGCTCCAACAGATGTTCAAGTCAAGCCTCCTCTTTCAGAGTACAACCACTCCTCATGACTGGATAAAATTCAGAGTTTGTTAATGGAATGTTACTAGCTTGGTTTTGGAGATATTGAATGTTACAAGCCAGCCCTGACTCCCCTTAATCTGCCTGAGCTAGATCAGAGGAGGGATCAGTTGGCAAGCTCTTATAATTTTGTTTATTTGTTGTGTGTGTGTGTGTATATATATATATATATATATATATATATAAATTAATAGTGTTTTTAATTCAAGTGTTTCTTATTAGTGTAAATGTTATTTTCAGTGGATACATGTTTGTGTAGATACTTTTTTTTTTTTTTTTAAACTGTGAATTATGTCTACCAGTGTACATGTTTGTGACTAAAAGATGTGACCTCTGGCAGAGTTCAAGCTTGCATGTCTCTTTGTAGAGGAGGCCACCAGTTAAAAGGATAGATATTGATGTTTAGTTGACAATATATTCTAAAATGTCAATGAAATATCGTACCAGAATTCATTTTGCATAAATAGTTATAAAAATTTATTAAACCAAAACTAATAATTTCATTTTGTTTTTTTTTGTTTTTTTTATAAAATTTTAAAACTATTTTCAGCAATTCCTCTGTAGGTGAATAGAAATATTGTGTTGAGAATCCAATTTCTGTTGTTTGAAGTATTAGGAAATATAAGTAATAGTTATTATCACTAAATTTATAAACTTTCTATTGCAACTAATAGATTTATTTAGAATGTGAAATTTTTATCTGCAAACATCTGTATCTCAGTATCTGTTAATACATTTATTAATCCAAATGCTTATTTTTAACCCAGCCTACTCAGCAATGTCCAAGATGTGATGCAATGCTTGGAAGTCAAACTTCACTAAAATATCACTTAATGAGTGTGCATCAAGTATTGGTAAGTATTGCAAACCAATTCAAAATATTTGAATTTCAATATCAGTGGTAACTGGATTTGGAGTTATTCCTGAGTGTGACCTCACCTATGCTAGTGCTCTTCCATCCATAAGAGGGCCTGACTTAGAGTGGCACTTTGATGCTGGTTAGGCAATAGGATATTGCCCTAACTGTATTGAACTTTGGCAATTCCACCTGAAATTAAGTTAGTTTAGGGTCGTTTTTGTGTCCTTAGTTTCTTCCATCCAGTTAGTTTAGCTAGGGGATGTATACTCATTGGTCCCTTCTATTTCTGTTCCCCCCTATATCTTTAGTTTAATTCTCCATCCCCTCCCTTTTTAGGTGATCAGTGATGTCAGTTCTCTGGTGGATGCAAGACACCTTTTGTTTTGGGTGTGATTTTTGTATTCATTGTTGTTTCTGAATGAGTGTGTGTTTGAGTGAGTGCTTGGGATGAATGAATGTTTTATATTATTAAAATCCCGCATTGATTTTATCCAGTTAACTGATATTTCTGCCACATTTAAGAATTATGGGTGATTTTATTACTTAATTTTGTTTAGTTTCTTGTAAATAGTTTTGTTCATTTTTGTATATATTCATTGGGATTAGATTTTAAATTGTTATTTTATTCCCCTCCCCCCACATACACTTGTACATATGGGGACTAGTTTGATTTTCATAGAGACAATGAGCTATTATGGTGGATGTAGTAAGAAAGGTAAGTAAGAATGTGTTGTTTTGGTGTAAGGAATATTGTGGCATGTTTGGGTCGGTGTTTGTGGCTAGCTAAGTTTAATATTAAGACAGAAGACGACAATCCTTTTTCTGCATTCCCCATTTTGGACTCATGTTAACAGAAATAAATATTGCTTTTCCATCCATGAACCATCATAGACCCAGTCAGGGAAAGAAAGCTCCTTGAAAAGTTCTGGAATTTTCTAAATTAGGCTGCTCACACACCCTTTCAATTCATAAATGTCAAAATGCCAAATCACAGAAATCTGACTTTTTTACAAGCTAAAAATTGTCCTTTAAGATTTTTTTTTTTTTTTTTTTTTTTTTTTTTTTGTATCATTAATATTTGGCAATTGTGAGCAGTAGTTTGATTCCATTATTAAAACTAGTTCATCACCACTTCTGTATTTTCTTGTCACCTAGATGAGAAAGAAAGAATATGAAGGTATGTTTTGCAACAAGAAAAGAGGAAAAGCAAAGACAAAAGGCATTAGAGACAATTAAACATCTCTGTCAATTATAAATAAAATGTGTAATCTTTTTGTGAAAATTTCTATTTGTAGTTTTGTTCATTAAAACCATTATACTTAACTTCACAGAAAATGTGCAACAGTCAAGAATTTTTGTGGCATTCACAAAACATGAGTAATCAAGATAGCTGAAATGTGTAGCAGTAAGAATTAAGTGTGTAATTCAAAATTTTCAAGTGCAGTAGAACTCCAAACTATGTAGAATACTGCACAAAATGTGTAACATAACCAGGTCTGTATTTAGTTGTGTTTTAGCCTTCAACACTTTGATTTCTTCACTGCTTTCAAATGATCCATGTGGCATAAATTATTGGAACCATTTATAGATTTTCTTTGGACATCTTGTGTGTCAAACTATTACAAGATAAATCACAAGGTTTGTGCTTTTGGAATTGATGACCATTTACTTTGTGTGTGCATGCATGTGCATCAGTTTCAGTTCTTTAAACTTCTTAATATAGTTCTGGAATAGTCTTGGAAATTTTTTTTTTATTCATATCTGTGAGAACCTTGAACAGAGAAATGGATAGTCTCATCTTACAAATATTCTTGTCATTTAGGTTTGACTTCAAATAATAAAATAAGTACTTAAAAAGGAGAAATGATTTTTTTTTTTTTTTTTTTAACTTCATTTAGATTAGAGCTCAATCTTTTAATTTATCAATGGCAATTTTCCTAGAACTGTATTATGACTACAATGGTGGTATTGGAGCATGCACTTAAAATGTATCTATGAGGACAAATCTTTTTCACATGACTGATTTCTTGGTTTTGGTAGGTAGATGGGTCTGGGAAGGGAAGTTCATGCATTACAATACAAATTTCACATTTCAAGAACACCTGGGATACATTTTAGCATTGGTCACACTATGGGAATCTATATTTCTTCAGAATTTTGAATTCTCAACAAATGAAAGGGATTGTATGTTTTTAAAAAAACACCAAAGCAAACTTGATCTAATTTGTTATTTTAATCTGATTCCATTTCATTGACTGAATTCACCAACATTTTTTCCATAAAGTAGTGGCTTAACCATTACAGACAGTGCAGAGCCTCTTTTAACATTGATAAACATTATGTGAGTTTAATTCACTGGAATTTACTGTTATCACAGTATTCTACATAAATATACTTTCTAAGAAGTTTGAAAGTTTTGATGAAAGATTCTCTGTGTGTATTTACCAAAATTACAAACACATAGTACAGTATTTTGCTGCTGATAAGAGGCATTTTTTCTTATAAAATATCTCCAAAAACCACCCAGTGTCCTATAAATTGAAGGTCAGTGACAGGAGTTATAAGTTTGGGCTGTAGGGTGAGCTATTTGTGAGGATTTCAGCCTATAATAAGTTTAGGTTTCACTGGTATTATGCACTCTAAATTCTCTTCTAATTATTACATTCTAAATAGTTACCATAAATTTGGTGCTTCTTCTCGGTCTGTGATGAATTTATTATAATTAGTCAGGTTTTCAGGCTGAAATATGCTATCTAGTGGGTAAAATTTGAGATACTGGCAAGGGCTATGAAGTACAAGGAAAAAAATATCTTTTTTTCATATTTCTTCCTTCAAAATCTTTCTGGGGGAGCATCTTATAAACAGCAAAATGTGGTATTTTTTTTTTTTTTTTTTAATATTATGAAATGACCAACTCCTGTAAATATTAGTGTTGTTTTGTATTTGATTTTCAGTGGACCAAAGAGTGTCCAATGGGAAGTACAGACAACAAAGCTCTTAAATTTATCATGAAAAAGATGGGAAAGTTGAACTGTCCAAAATGTGGAAAAGAAGTAAGGAATTTCCAGTACTATAATTTTCACATTGAATGGTGTGGAAGAGAGGTAAGTTAGTTTTTTATATATTTTTCTCCTAAACTTTGTCATGGTTAAAAACAAGGATTTCATGGCCTATTTGGTTTAGAGAGGTTTATTTTCAAAGAAAGTTAATTCCAAAAAGAAAAACTAAAAATTTAAAAGTTCAACGTTATATTTCAAAATCAAATTATCCCATGGCATATAACAATTAGTGGACCAGAAAATGGCATCAACAGGTCAAGTTCAAATTCCAGCAGATATGGGTAAAAAAAATCGTATGGTAAACTAGACCCTCTAGCCTTGGAAGGGCAAAAGGTTTAGAACAAATCCTTAAGAAAACAGGAAGCTATTACCTTTCCCTACAAACATCATGGAATTTTTATTTATAATTTCACCCCAAACGGGGTGGGAATATCACTAGTATGCAAGGGGCGGTAGGTACAAAATGTGAAAATGAGAGAAAAGACTATGTATAATGGGTGGGGGGGAGGAAAGGATAAAAGATGAATAGGATTCAAAAAGACAGATGGCAATTAACATTGCATTTAAATATTTGAAGTGTGTAATTATTCGTGGAAGCAAGTAAACAGAAGAGTTTCACAGGCGGTGAGTACGAGAAAAACTGTTGGAGTAGAAGTGGCAGTTACATTTACCTATTTCAACAATAAAAGGGGTGAGACCTAGATGCCAATCTAGTAGCATATTTAAATTCATATAGTCGAGGCATGGGGGTGGGGGGAAAACTTGTCAGAGCAGTTGCCATGAAAATATTTATAGAAAAGACAGAAGGGAAACTGTCACATCGGTGAGAAAGTGGCCAAATTCACAGATCATAAAGAAAATGATGTGATGAAGCATGATTGCCTATGTCCTGTAAGAACATGAATTTAAAAAAGGAATAATCTTCATTTTACTTCAAATTAATAAATTTGCTCTGTAATAAATTACTTTTTTTTTTTTTTAGTTTAAGAGATGACCTTTATAACAGTGAAATTTTGATGCAAATAAAGACTTACTGTATATACTCATGTAAAGGCATGATCTTGCATATTGTACAACCCTTAAATTTTCACTTATAAAAAATGATTTTATCATGTATCTTGTGTATCATGTGAGTCCATTTTTTGAGAAACCAAATTACAACAGACTAACCTCTTCTTCTATCTCTTTATCCCATCTTCTAGTTAAATACGTTTAAAAAAAAAAAATTAAGAGAATGATAAAAATTTCATTAGCAACGCTATACTTGTGTAAATATGCACAGCCATAAATAACTGAATGAGATACAGCTAAACATCTTTTAAACGTAAACAATGGAAAAGATTCATATTTGCTATGTTTGTATTTATAATACAATACTAATATGTGAATATTACATGCATTATTATTGGATACAGTTAAGTAAAACATTAGTTTTATCAAAATCATGTTTATTTTAAATACAGCTGTGCTCTTTGACTACAGTAAATGGATATATAAGACGGTACATATGCTAATTTTATTTCTTGTGTATGATGCGACCCCTTTAAAATTAGCTTCAAAATTAGGTCTTCAAAAGTCACATGATATGTGAGTATATACAGTAAGTAGAATAAAAATTATTTGATATTTGCAAGAAAAGCATATGTGAAGTAAATGATTGGTGGGAATTTTAGGTTTGATCTTTGTGTGTGTTTATATCAAACCAATTTCTATTTTCCTTTTTGTTAACAGGATGAAGTTGCTGAATGTCCTGTGTGTCATAAGAATCAGCGCCTTATGTACATGGCCAGCCATGTCAATTTGCATAAGCGGAAGGAGCGAATAGAACTTGAACGCCAGAAATTGGTGCAGAGGGAATCTGGTACTCAGAAGTCTCAGAGAAAGAGAAAAGCAGCAGAAAAGTAGGTGGGATCTTCACATATTGCGACAGATCATTGTTAGAATTCTCTTGGGAGCTGGAATCCTATCATTGGTTGATGTGTCTTAAAAGTAAAAAGTGTAACAGTGAAAGTGGACACAAAATTTACCTCAATCTACACATATGACTACAAGGTTGTAGAGTAATGATTATGAAATCAATCTTGTAGCAAGTTCAGTTATCATCATGGTCTTGTGCCAGACTTAGCTCAATATCTACACATGTACATTTTCTTTTTATTAAAATCAAATTTTATCATTTCTTCACTATTAATCTCATTTTAACTATAAGCATTTTTCCCAAGTTTTATTTTCTATTCCCATAAATTGTCTGAAATGTCAAATTAATTTTCTTTTCTGTTTTTCTCAGTGAACTGCTTTGCTCATAAATTTTTATATTAACTTTAGACATTTCATTTAAAACCTCAAACTTTTTCCTAATTGAACATTTTAAAATGATTTAAATCTTACTTGAAAGTTATTCAACATTGATCTAATAGGATAAAAAAGAAAAAATGTTTTTCTTTTCAACCCAGAAGGAAATTTGCTCCTCATCCATGAAGATTTAGTTGCACCCTGGTCCCCTTTGCTTTATTCAACATAATAAAAAAAAAAAAATTATTTTTTCATTATCCAAAAAAAGATAAAATCTATTTTCCTACATTTTCTCAGGGTTTTTTAGATAAATTTATCAAAGTTACACAACAATATTTATTGATGCAACCATTTTAATGCTAACAGCATTGACTTTGTTGAACTCATTACTTTTATGCCTTTTTTAAATAATTGTTCTCATTCTGCTGACATTAAGAGAACTTACTTAGAATTTATTTTAGACTAGAATTGTACCTGTCCAAAATAATAGTTATAGCATAAAAGCTCTGTGTATTCTGCCACTGATCAAATTCTCCTCTTCCATGTTCTGTGAAAAGGTGACTCTGTTTCTTTTATCTTCAAGTAGTTTACAGCCGAGCAATGAGTGAAGGTTGGTCCCAAAGATTCCAAGCCTGTGATAGTACTCTCCATTACCACCACCACCAATGTATCAATGCATGGACAAGACAATTTTTATCTTTGGCCAATATGTATGCATGTTGACACCTCACATGAAACCATCTAGTGCATCCTACTATTGTGTCTGTGTGATGAGTTAGGGATAAAATACAGGATCAAAATATGTAGTATTTGTGCACTTTGAAAAGTGTCACACATACACACATTGCATATCACATGGAACTAAGAGAAAATGACAAAATCAAGATGTTGACATTCCGCACTCTACTTCAAACAAGAGGTTAGGAAGGAAACTCCCATCATTACTGGAAAAAGCAATAACATCTACTGGACTTGGCAAATATATTTTCTGGAAAAATTGTTTTACGAGAAAGATTTTATGAATTTCAACCAGCAGTAGTACTTGGTTCTCAGTCAATGAATGCCAAATGTTTCCTTATAAGGAAATTGCTAATATTACTATTGTCATTTTATATATATGGATTATAAGGATATATTAAGATTTTTTTATGTCCTTTAATATTTTTAGAGCAATTGGTTCACTTCATGAAATGAGTCAGGAGCTGTTCAGCACTGATGAGATGGGAGACCACAAACAGCCAAAGAAGGCAAGACATTTGCAATCTGTTGATTACTTGGAAAGCAATAGAAAAGATAAAGAAGATGATGATAACTTCAACTATGAAGAATTTGATGAAGGATTCAAACGTAAGAAACAACTTTATTTTTTTCATATTCACACACTTTGTAAATTAACAACAAAAACATTGACTCATAGATATCCTTCTAAAATAAAACCATTTTTTATATATCAAGTTTGATAAGTAACATTGTCTTACAAATGACTTACAAATGCATTCTGTGGCATTTTTTTTTTTTTTTTTTTTTTGCTTTGTTTACAATTGTACAGGGGGCCAGAAGGGGCCAATGCCAACCGAACCCCCACTCCCGAATTTTGGCTGGCCCCTCGGTTACCAAATCTTTTAAGTTTTGTTGAGGAAAAAATCAGGGCAGACAAATTACACTGTTCTGCTACTATTGACATTAGTATTAACCCTTTCATTTTGTTTTGAAGTTAACCTCTCTTGTGTTCCAACAGCTTGAGAGTTGAAAAGAGGGCAAGAATAGATTAGAACTCCGCTACTATGAATGTAAAGTTATTCTTTTTAATTTAGTGAAGTAACATACTTATACTAAAACTCATTCCTAAGTTGTGTATACGATAGGGATATAGCATGAAAATAAAGATGTTGCTTGAATTTGCCCCCTCTCCTCTGCAGAAAAGCTCTCTTGCCAATACACTTCAGATGCACCCACTGAAGACCAGTCACAGACTACAGTTTGGTCACTGGCTTTGGAATTTACTCATGTGTCTTCTGACACCATGCATACAGGAGTGCCACAGCTTATAGTACTCGATGTCAGGATTGACCTGGCGATTCAGCATTCTCTTCTGAACTGTAGCAATTGTTCTGATGTTTCTTTTCCACAACTGCACATAGTGGTTTGGTAACTTCTCAGAAAGTATCTCCAACACTGAGTTTTCATGACTATACTGAATGAATATTGTTTGTCTTATGAAATATATATGATATTTTCTTAGTTTTAAAACACTATTTATATTTACTGGCAAAATAGCCTTGATATCTTTTTCTTTTTTTTTAATGTGTAGATGAAAGTGCAGTTTTTGTTATGTTTGTTTGTTTTTTTTTTTTTTATTTATCTCTCTATATATTTGTTTTTTGTTTTATTTTTTGAACATTTCTATGATAAAACTGTATACTTGCAGATGTCCCTAGCCATAGTGAAACACATGTGTCTACTCCAAGGTCATCAGGTGGTGCCTCAATGTGGCCAAGTAAAGATGAAGATTTATTTGAATGCTGTTTGCAATTTCACACAAAACAAGAAGTACTTTGTCCTGCATTTGATGAATTCTTACCAACCAGGGATATGTTTTATCATTTAACGAATGAGTAAGTCATCATTTTATTAAACTGACTTAATTTTCTTATTAAATAATTATGACAGTCTTTGTTGTTGTAGTTCAGATGTGTTTGTGGTATATGGTTATTACTGATGAATACAGAGGTGCTGAATGCTACTCTGAATAGTTGCAATCTCCAATTTATAAAAAAAAAAAAAGCAATAGAAATCAAATTGTGGATTAGATATAAAAACTACACCTTTCAAACCTACCAGTGGTTAATTGTACAGGGTGTGATGGGTAAATTGCTGCCATTTTAAATTTTTAATTTCACACACATGAATTATTATGTGTTGGGCACAGTAGAGTGAGAGACCAACAAAACTCCTTGTAACACCGGAGATGAACTGAAGGCAAGGATTATGGCAGTATTCACGCAATTTTATTGAATAAATTTACTCTTAGTATTTCAAGATATTTTTATAGAATTTTGGTGAATATATCTGCTAAAATGAAATATCAGTGTTATTTTCATTTTTGTGTAATTTAGACAACAATTTATCCATTGCACCCTGTATCTTGGTAAATGTTGCTCACCCTGCTCACTCAGAAGTAGCACCCTCTCTCCCATTTGTCAGGGCAAGTGGGGCAATCTTTTTGTCTTCAATAATATAGAATTTATTCATTGTTTCTGCATCATCTGTAAAATTTGACAGAGTAGGAAAGCTAGACTGATGGCCAATCCTCCTAATTTCTGCACTTAGGGTCAAGTTTGGCATTTGATATTCTCTTAGATATCGTGCCTTACTAGGCTAACGAGTGCCAACTGCTCTGCTATTGGGCAGGTGTGGATTCATGCCTTTCCCAATGGTATGAGTATGAAGTGAATATAAGCAGGCTATGTTGAAACTCTAACTTGATTCACCAATTCCATTTTCCATACCAATAACCACTATGCAACTTTTCTCATCCTCTCACTAAGTTCATCCAAGAAGTTAATTCCACCATTGATTTAATAAACTCTAATTTCACATTTTGTAGAAATTCATTCAAGCAGACAAATTAGAAAGTGATCATACTTTTAGGAATATAAAAAGATTTTTTTTTTTTTTTTGTTTACCTTAAACTTTTTTATTACTTGCCTTAATTTTATTTTGTTTACCTTTTAATAATATTTTAAGTGGGGACTTATCAGGGTAAAGAAAAGATAGGAAAGGTAAGACAATTCTAATGTTCACAGCATTAATTCAAAAGGGGGATCAATACTGAGATTAGAGCAATAATTATTTATTATAATTTTAAACGTTTATAGTTATGGATTTGAAATTTTAGCAAGATTGTAATGTTAGATCTTTTAATATATTAAAGATCTAACATTACAATCTTGTTAAACTTTCAAATCCATAACTATAAACATTCAAAATTATAACTACCCTCTTTTGATATATTTTCTACCTTCTTATAAACCTTTCTACTAATCAATCTTAGATTATGATTCTTAAAATGTTTTTTGCACATATATAATACCAGTAATAGTATCAGGTAAATTGATTTACACCCATACTTATTCTACAAGTTATACAGTCCGCCAATAGGTCCAAATTTGCTTATAAAAGTTATACTTACATCACATAGTTTTATATACCTTTCTACTTATATCTTAAATTCTGAACTAAAACTTATTGTAAAAACAAAAAACAAAACAAAAGAAACAAGTAACTTATATATTCAACATACCAAAAAAAAAAATCTCCACCTCTTAATTTATTAATTTATATAATGCGTTCATTGATTACAAAACTAGTAGCAATAATACCAGCCTAAATATGCGTACTTCAGCTCTGACTTTGTTCTAAAGTTACAAAAAGCATTTCCAATTACTACTACAGCCATCCTCTAAGCTTATCCCTCCTACCTCCTTCATTGTCTTACTCTCTCCTATTTCCATCTTTCCTCCTCCACCCCTCACTCTTGGGAGGCTTGGAAGTGCTATGCCTAAACACTTGACCATTGCTGTCGATTTAAATTTTTCGGGTCAAGCCATCACCTTAACACCTCAACAATCCTTCACCAAACTGCTATCAACAAGCACTATTGTCTTATTCTGTCACCCTTTTGCCTTATCTTTTCTTTACCCTTATGCATCCCCTCTTAAAATGTTTCCATTTTTTTCAAACAAAGAGAAAATTTGTAGTGAGTTAATTGTTTTGTCTATATGAAAAAATTATAATAAATAATTATTGATCTACTCTCAGTATTGATCTCTTTTGAATTAATGCTGTGAACATTAGAATTTTATATTATTTATGTTTTCATTACATTTGGAGATATATAGTTTTATGGTAAAACTACTCAATGTTGAAGATGTGTGAAGTGTGGACACTGATGTTAACACAATACTGACAGTCTGTTTCATACTTCAATGTACTCTTCAAGCCATATATATGTATTTGTGCTGGTAATTGAGTGACAATAAAAAATGATTATTATTAATCTAAAGAAGATCCTTTTAGAGACAAAGCATGCAACGTTTTTGCTATTTTGTCATTCAGTTACCATATATATAGGGTTTGGCATACTGATCTTCTTCACAAGTTAAAATGTTATATTTCTGGACATATTTTTGAACTGATTCAGTCTTTCTTATTGCCAAATGAAAGTTGTCTTGAATAGCTACTCTTTTAGATCATTTTGCATTAATGCAGATGTCCTCCAGAGCTCTATCCTTAGATCGACATTGTTCCTAATTTTCACCAATGACCTTCCTAATGGCATCAGCTCTCAACTTGCTGATAACATAACTATTATGACAGGTGTAAATAGTTAAGTCTGATCAGTTCAATAAGTTCATACTGGCAGATGATCTCAAAAATGACCTACATTCTGTTGTTAATTAGGGCAAGGAATGGCTTGTTAATTTTAATGCCCCCAAAAGAAAAAAAAAGCTCATTAATTGACTGAGAGAAGCCTCTTTGCCTTTCATCAGTATGGCTGATGCTAACCTCCAGGAGAGTGATTTGTTGCACCTTTTTGGCCTAATGTTTTCTGATGACATGAAATGAAAAGATTATCAGTTGATAGGAAAATTGGTTCAGTGTCATGGTAGACAATTTTTTTCACCCAAATCTGTCCTACATATTTATAAGTCTACCATTTATCTTCTATGCTTTGAATATTGCTGTCACATGTGGTCTGGTGCTCCTGCTATATATGTAGATAGCCTTAATAAAATCTTTACCTGGAATCTCTGCTTCAGTCACTTTCCCACCAGCATAATGAATCTGTCCTATGCCTTTTCTATAAATATTTTCATGGTAATTGTTTTGATGAAATTTCCACTATGGTACCTAGACTTAATTTAAGTGCAGTACTAGATTGGAGGTAAGGTCTAATCTTTTTACAGTTGAAAATGCTTGATTTAACTGTAAATTCTATGCTAACAGTTTCTTTTCTTGCAATTCAGACTTTTTGCTTTCCAGTCAAGTCTAATCTTCAAAAATTTAAATTCAGTGTCAGTTGTTGTCCTAGTTCTTTTTTTTTTTTTTTTTTTTTTTTTTTTTACATATTCTATCACACTTAATAACCTCCCTGCATCTTAGTGGTTTTATTGCTTTACTTTTGATGAAATGTCAAAAAAAAAAAAAAAAAAAAAAATTTCATCTCTCTTATCTAGCTAGCAGAGCATTTATAAAGGCATAGACAGTGAAAGTACAATGTTGATTCCTATGTCCATGTACAGTCTATTTCGACCTTTTAGATAAAACAAGGTTAAAAAATATACCAAATTTCAATGAATTTATCCTATACCTGTAGTGTGACTGCTTATTGATTATATAAAGATGATATTACTGAAAATGTTGTTACTGTATCCTTAGAAATTCAAAATAACAAAACTGATTCTCTACCATTGTTTTGTTTACATCTCATCACGTGATCTCTTGCAAATACCAATTAGTCTTCTGCCTCTTCTTTTCCTATATCTAAACAGTTACAAGCAGCCTGGTGTACTCATAGCCATTTACTTATACTTCATTGAATATCATAAAATACCACTAATAACAGTAAAATAATAGTACATTCTACTTTCAACATTTCAAATGTAAATATGGAGTTATAATTGTGAATAAAATCACAATTATAACTCCATATTTACATTTTCTCAGCTGAGCTTGCATGCATACAAGTTGATTTCATTGATTTGGAATTATTCTTTGAATAAACGATTTATTATGAAGTTATGCCAGTAATATATATAAAGTAGAAATGCTTTTATTACTTTTATTATCAGTTTATTTGATAATGTGAATCATGTACGTTATTGGTTATAGCACCAATGCTGAAGGTATCCTACCAACAAACATCACTCAGAATTTAAAGTTTCTTTTTTAGAATTGTACTATAAGATAACCCCCAAATTTTAAGGGTGATTTTTTTTTTTTTTTTTTTTTTTTTTTTGATTTAAAGGTTGTCTTATACGTTGAAATATACAGTATATATTTTTTTAATTTCTTTTTTTTTTTTTCTTAAACTTTTTAAGGGAAATTGATTTATGCCTGCCTGTAATCCGCAAGAGTATAGACTTTACTGTGGATTTGTTGGGCAGGGAAGTACATATGTCACTGGGATTATTTGGTTCTGCTGTTTGTGGTGGTAAGAAATATTTTGCATTTATTGTTAAAAATATTCAACATTGAAATTACTTTGTTTTAAACTTAATGTTATTGCTTTCATGAAAAAAGAAAAAGGCAAAAATATATATTTGATTTATATATCTGAATATTCAGTCAAAATTTCATTTAATTCTTAATTTTGTCTTTTTTTTTTTTACAAATATGCCAATCCTTACAAATAATCGTTTTTTGTTTTTTTTTTTTTTTTTTCATCTTTTATAATTTAAAACTTTGATGAAAAATATTCCAAAATATCTCAAGAATTCATACCAGATTTAAGTCTTTTGATTGAACCATTTCAAATCTTTAAGAGTAATAATATAAATCTGACAAAAAAAACTTTATAATAAATTTTCCTTGTTGATGGGTAGGGATTCTTATGTTACATGGCCTATCTTCATGCTGTTCGTAATTATAAATTCTAATATAAATATTGATTTTTCTCTTACAGATAGTCTGAATTTTTTCACTGGTGGTCCAGTGTGGTGTGCTGTGTGGTGTCCCATTCCCACCACAGAGGGCGTCAATGCTGATCAGTACATGGCTGTTTATTCTCATAAACATATGGATGAAACAAATGTTGTCAAAAAGGCCTTTACCAAGACAACTGTCATTCAGATTTGGAATTGTGGACCACTGAATGCATTTTCTGAGTATGCTTTATTAAATATAACTACTTTCTTAAGACTTAACTCTTGTCTTAGGCTATATATTCAGTTATATCACTAATATTCTAGAAATTGATGGTCTCACATCACCTTTTCAAGATAAAATTAGCAAAAGATATCTGAAGCTTTTTTTTCTTTTTTATTATTAGACTCCTTCACATGGCTGCACTAATGTTACAGATAATGTCACAAATAAATTATAGTTGTTTTGCTAGCATTTAATCTTTAAAATAGTTCATACTAATTCTGTGTTGCAGTGTGAATTGGTTTATTAAAAAATATTTCTGGTTGTGTGTTGGCCATTGTTCTAGTTTTGTAAACTGAGTTCAATCTTCATGAGGTAATATAGAAGTGCCATCAAAATTTGTCCATTCAACACCTTAACATTTGTTAAAATCATATATAAAAATAAATAAAAATACAATTCATAATAGGTTTCTCATCTATCTCTCTCTCTCATTCATACATAAAAAGTTGTAGCCTTTGTCTGTTTATCGAATGCCTCCTAGGGTTTTGCAGATATACCCCCATAACCACATATATATTTTGAAACTACAATACCCAGGGTACTTGGTTAAGTATATTTCATTTTGATCAAAGGGTGCACAAACCCCCTACTGAAAATTTGTTTTCCCTTTGATTTAAATTAAATTTAAATTTGAACAAGGGAATGATTCCTATCCAAAATATAGGAGGAGAAAGGCAGAAGATGGAGGTCACATTGACAAAATCAAAATGAGAGAATATACATGTCAAGTTGAGCAAGAAATCACCAATCAGTGGGTAGTGCCTTACAATACATATTTGTTGCGACAATTCCACTTTCATGTCAATGTTGAAATGTGCTCATCAATTCATTCAGTCAAGCATTTCATCAAATATATATATCAAAGGGGTCAGATCAAGCTGTTTTTGCACAAACCTCCAACTAAATTTTTTTTTCCTTTTGATTTAAATTAAATTTAAATTTCAACAAGGGAATGACTCCTATCCTAAATATAGGAGAAAGCCAGAAGATGAAGATCACATCAGCAAGATCATTGAGTAATATTGAAATGCATCATATTTCTTTACAAATTATAACAATGATTTAAAATCAGTTATTTTCTTACAAAAAAACCTGTGTGACCTGCACCAAGGTGCAAGGTAATTCTGCTAGTGTAAATATAAAGACAAAAATTTGCATGAAAAATAGCATTATTGCCTAATATTTGAATAAACAAAACTGAAAACTATTTGTTAATAACAACTGTAAAACTGTCCTGCCAGTTCAAACCATGATCTTCATAATTCAAACCATTGACTTTTACAAATTAAGCTACCATTCAATGCAACATAACCCTTTACAACTGAATTACTTTTTACGAGCATGCTTGTCACTCCTTTGAAGCCTAAATGATCACAGCTTGATAGACTAAGTTTGAAGTTATTTGCATGAGAAGCATAAAGATATTTCAGTTGAGCCTTTCCAGCTATTTCCGACACCTGCAATACATGCATGTTAATCTTGGTCTTTTTTCTTTATTTTGATTTTAAAAAATATATTTTGGCAATGTTTAAACTTCTGACATGCAAAAAAAAAAAAAACCTGTCAAATGGACCATTTTTTCCCTTGACACCACTATTCAACAATGTCTTTTGTTTTAAAAAGCTGTTTAGAATTTTAATAACAACAAAAATGTTACAAACTCATTGTTGGATTGTTTGTTTAAAAAATAAATTTTATATTTACTTACAAGATTATAAAAATATATGAACAACTCCTATGCAATTTTTATCATTTACCATTTTATAAAGAAGTAAATATGAAAACAAATGTTTTATTCATAAATTTATAAAAATGTCTGAACAAGAAAATTTAAATAAACTTAGCAATGAGTAAATAATGAAAGTTTTCTTTAAAAAAATTTAAGCCTTTCTTTTGTTTGTTCTCATTTATATAAATTAACTAAAATAGGTTGAAGACAACTAAACCAGACATTCTTTTAATTTTAGATTTTTGGTGAGACCACACTCAATATTTTGAGCATGTATCTCTTCTATTCATTGGGTGGACAAGGTTTTCTTTCATAATTAAAGAATTCTATAATTTTTACCAGGTACTTCTAATGATTATTAAAAAAAAAAAAAATTGGAAATTTAAAACTAACAGTAATCTAAGATACAAAATAATCCAAGAAGAAAATGTATAATGTCCACAAAAATTATATTTTATTTAAGTTTTTTTTCTTCACAAATGTTTTTGAATAAAAAGAATTTTGTTTTTGGATGTTTTTATAAAATGATAAATGATAAATAATTCATTGTTGTTAATTCACATATAAATGTCATAAATATAAAATTAATCTTTTAAATAGACAGTCTAACAACTAAATAGTATTTTTTGCGGGGATCTGTAGGTTAAACTTTACCAAGAGATTAATCCTTTTCATTGATACTGCAAAAAATAAACAATGCAAACAAAATTGTTCTTTAATCCATTTCTTTGTTTATTATTATTTCTTCTGTATTTAAGGTCTTCATTTTATACTATACACACACACACATATATATATATATATATATATATATATATATATAATAATGCCTTTAAATTCCTTGGGGAACATAGGGCCAAAGGATATCATTGTGGTTTCTATAAGAGATTTTTTTTTTTTTTTTTTTTTTTTTCCAATTGAGTAGGTTTTGAATTCAGTTTTCCTTCTTCTTGACAAGTTGCCACCCAAGGCTATAGAACCCAGTCTGTCCTGCTATTTACCCATAGCTGGGAGGGAGAAGAGGATTCATATTTTTCCCAAGGGTATTAGAATGTAATGGATTCGACTGAAATTCAAACTCAGCCCTCCGATTCCTCAATCTGAGTTGCTATCCATTACTCCACCATGCATTGTTTTAACACAGTTTTGGGGGGGGGGGGGTATGAAGGTTAAACTTTACCAAGATATTAATCCTTTTCATTGATACAGGGGGTGGGAGGACGATGCGAACAAGATTGTTCTTTAATCCATTTCTTCATGGTTATTATTTTTATTTCTTATGTATTTAAGGTCTTAATTTTATACTTTTATTATATATATATATATATATATATATATATATATATATATATATTACATTATTATGTATATTTTTTTTTTTTTTTTTTTTTCTTTCCAGGAAATTATTTCTTCCACATCTTGCCTTTGGCATAGTACATGATTTTGGGTGTGTATTCAGCATGGCATGGTGTCCTTTTGGTGCCTGGCAATCCTCTTCACAACCTGTTTACCAGGTAAAAAGCTTACTTTTTATATATTTATGTAAAGTTATAATGTGTGACTTTTTGGGGTTGGTGGGTAGCAGGTTGTACTATCTTCATTTTTATTTGGCTTAATTAAATATGTCAATCTCCCACCTGGGTCAAAAACTCATTTTTTTACCTTTCAGTAATTGATATGAATAGAAGTTCTCCTATGTAAATTTCAGTTTTTTTTTTTTTTTTTTTTTTTTCTAACTGATCTGTGTTTTCCATGAATATGTCTGGAATATATCTGATGAAACAAGATGGAGTGATCCAACACATCAGTCTTTGCATCCATTATATACAAATCCCCTCTCCCCAGCAGTATAGAAAAGTGAGTTAAATTCTGTGTTTTTTTTACTTATGACTGGAAAACAAATTGAGAATCATCAGTTTTATGTCATTAAATAATCATTAAAGGTCATACCATAAAACCAAGAATCAAAATCTTTATATACTAAAAAGATATCACAGATTTTTATAAAATACTGTCAAAAGTTTCTGTACTGTTTCAAATAAATATTTTTTCAGTTTTTGTTGATTCTTTTGGTACTTTTATTTTTTTTATTTTTTTAAACAAAAATCAAATTTTTTTTATCTACAATTTCATAGATCAATTTGATGACAAAGGCCAAGAGATCTAACACATTCCAGTTGATATCTACATTTAATTATCTGTTAAATTGTTGACTTTAGAATAACTAATATCATAGTATATGATAAATTCTAACTTTTATTTGGCTTGCTATAATGTCTGAATTTTCATACATGCATTCCATTTTGATCTCAAAATCACAGTAACAAGATATAATGCTATATAAAATGAAATATCTAAACTATTTCAAAGTTACATAGCATTAGATTGTGTGTTGAGCAGTCTGTCTTCAAGAATGTCATTTTTGGTAACAATAAATTTTTATGCTTACTTTATTTTCTTTCCCACACAAAAATTGAGCCATGTCAATTTCCTACTATGTTGTATTATTGTTATTTCAGATAATGATTTTGTTTTTCTTTAAATGTTTCTATGCTTTGTTTCTCTTGTAAAACCTGTTGCTGTTTTTCAGGAGGAAGTTCTGCACCGACTTGGCCTCTTAGCAGCTGCTTGCTCCGATGGAAGTGTCAGAATATTCAGGTTATTTATCATTTTATTTATTGACAGAATTTTTTATTTTTTACACGGTTTAATAAAATGTTTCTTTCACTCTTTTCATTTTAATCTGTAAGTGTCTCTTTTTGGGCAAAGTTTCCTCTTGTCTATCATGAATTCTAATGAAAGTTCCTTGGATATCATTGAGGCAAAAAGACTTTGAATATATAAAGAGGAAAATCCTTCATTATGTGACTAGACTGTAAATACATTCTAAAAAGCTCATTTGAAAATAGATGGACTATATGAGGCTGACCAATATACTCTCATAGTGACCAAGTGACCTTTTATCTTCCATCAGTGTTGCAGTGTTTGGATTCCATTGCTGAAGAAGCTTTCATTTTGTTGGTTAAAAAAATGTCAAAAACATTAGATATGACATCATTATCACTGTAATACTGGCTACCAGCCAAGAGGTTTTTCATGTTAAGGAACTGATGATAACCAGATGGGGGCCTAATAAGGAGGGTGATCAACCAGTTCAAAGCTACAATAAGACACAGCAGTCATTGAAACAAGACCACTTTTGTCGACTTTCCTGGGTGTTTAGTTTTGATAGCCTTTTGTAACTGCCTCAGCAAGTTAGCATAGTACTCTCCATTGAGGATATGGCCTTTTTTAATATAAACTAAAATATGCCTTTTGCATCCAAGAAAATGATCATGGCCTTCTTTAGAGAAAATGATGAGGGACAGTTTCCGCTGCACAGATGATCTCTTTGTTTCTGACTCGGTGATGAATCCAACACTCATCCTGGGTCAGGAAACAGAAAAGGAAATCGGCTGGATCTACCTCAAACAATGTCAGATTTTCCCATGATGTGATCAGTGTGGTGCACTTTTGATCTACTGTCAGAAGATATGGCACCTATCAAGCAGAAACCTTCATCATGCCAAGTTCATTGTGCTGAATATTCTCAGTTCTTGCATGGGATATGTTAATAATAGCTTTGGCTATTTGATTTATAGTGAATTTCCTGTCATCCATCACCATGTGGTGAACATGATCAATGTTTTCCTCGGTGGTGGCAGTTGCAGGATGTCCAGACCTTTGGTTATCTTCAAGACTCTTCCTTTCCATCCTATATTCAGCTGCCTACTTTTGCACTGTTGATAAAGCTGGGATGTCATCCCCTAATCTGGCAACCATGTCAGTGTGAATGTCTTTGGGAACTAAATCTTTTTCTGCAGATAGTTGCTAATGCCACAATGCCAAATTTTGCCCATTTTTAAAAGTTACTACTAGTTACTATTGGAATCTTCTTTGAACAATCAGATGTCATTTTACCTGAAAGAAAGAATACATTTATAAATAAGAATAGTTGAAATTAATGCATGCAAGATTTCACAACTCTAGTATAATCAACCTATGAGATTTTCAGCCCATCCTTGTAATATAAAACAGTGACATATTTATTGGTAACACAGACTAATCTTCCCTTTTTGATAATGAGATATCATTCAAGTAACAAGAGACATTACTTGATGCTAATAAGTAAATGTCTCATGTTACTGTAACAACAAAATATCACATTAGTAAGTAATACCTGCAACAGTGGTTATTTGTATAGGTAAAAATCCTTGATTACTCATGCAGTAAACATGACCAATGCAACTGCAAAATTATTTAAATATCACTTAAATATGACTGAAATTTCTTTTAATGGTATAAGTAAACTGGTATCATGTAATCTTTTTTTTCTGTTAATGTGCTTAGATCTTTAATAAGAAACTCTCCTATTCACTATGATATTGGCTTAATCAACTACAGTATTTACACTGTCAAATATTAATGTATTCAGCCCCCTCTAATGTATACAGGCATAAAAAAACATTCAAATAGAAAGTAACTAAAAAAAAAATTCATAATGAAATGACAAAGAAGAGGGTGTTCTTGTATTTCCTAATGTTGAAGATGCACGTGATGAGAGTATCTCCCAAGGCACTTTCCTAATTTTTTTCAGCTAAATCGTGGAGAGAGAAAAAAAATTGAGTCTGTGTGAAATAAACAAAACTTTTGGTGTGCTGACATAGTAAAACAGATTAATGTATTTTTATTTTTTCTGATATTTTTTATTACTTCTAATCTTATTTTTATTGGTAGAACGTCCCACTTTTTTAAAGTGTTTATTTTGTCTACTGGCCTGCACATTCAAGAAAACAAGAACATGTGCCCTTTGGCAGGATTTGAACTTGCATCCCCTTTTTTAGGAGTAATCAGTAAAGCAAGGTTCTAGTTGGCTTAAACTACATCTCATTCAGATTTTTTCTTGAAAGCTGTATTTGCTCAATTTTGTATCTGAAACAAAGCAATTTCTCAAATGGGCAGGTCAGTAGAACTGAACACTGTTTAAAAACAGGACCTTCCACTCAAATACATTTAACCTTTTTTGCCATTAAAAGTAACATTTGATGAAACCAGAAAGAAGTTTAATTTAGGACTTTCAAGTTCCAACTTTCAAAGTCGGTTTACACTCCCTCAAAGACTAATCATAAATTGACTGGTTTACTATATCCTACCAAGTCTACTGAAAAAAAAATGATATTTGTGAGTATTTATTCTACTAAATTGTAGTTTATACACTTCATTATGGGACCATATATAGGAACTTAAATGGTTCTCTTGTATCAAAGAGGCTTTCTCTATAATTATGCTTGTAAGGCATTGGTCTCCAAACCCTTCAGCATAAATGACACATTAAATATTTTACACATTGTAAAATGATATAGTGAGTGAAAATGTCAAACATTAGCAAATGCATGAACAAAATAATCAATTAACTACAGTAGCAAAAAGCAGGTTATTTATTTCATCTCATGGAAGACTGGATATGACCCATATCAATCTGAAAGACACAGTAAATTATTAAGTTTTAATTTAGACAAATATATATTGTCTTTGATGCTGGGAAATAAATTTGGTTATTTGGGTCTGATTACAATCTTTAATTTTTTTAAATTAAACTTTTTTGCTTTCTGCTTTGATTTTATGTATTAATATTTCTGTTTCTGAATGTTTTTTTTGTTTTTTTTTTTCTTTTTTTTTTTTTTTTTTAAAGTGTTCCCTATGCATCAGATTTGCTTGAAAAAGACCAATGTGTTGGTACCTACCAGTTTTATAGAGTTAAGCCGTCCATAAGCTTGATACCTTTACCTGACCAGTCAGGTAAAAAATTTCTGTTCATTTTTTTTATTGTTCATTGTTAATATTTCCAAAGAAAACTTTTAAATGCTGAATAAAATGAAAAGTACAAGGAATTCTGACAAAAACCTACTTGTGAGGAAACTTGCAAGGAATTATTTTTTGTTATTGTTAATATTTGTATGTTTGTTTTAAACATCAGCCTCATATCAATAAGAGTGAATGTGTGTTTGTGTATGTGTAAATGTAGCAATACAATTTCTCACACATCTTTAGGAGATAAATAGATAAATACTTTTTCCTTTTAAGTCAATTTAATAACCTGAGTTTTTTAGGAATCCTGTCTCCAGTCAATTTAATGACCAGGATTTTTCAGGATTCTTGTCTCCAGCCCACCTTTAAAATTTTGTTAGTGATTTTAAATATCATGAAAGTAGAGTCCTTTGAAAAACTGACTACCCAAAAGCTGAATGGGTGGTCTCCTTTTCCAGAACACAAGTGGATGGATAGGGGTGGTAGGATCTCAGCCAGTATCCATATAAGCAGAGTCAGTCAGCAGTCAGTGAACAGAGGAGCAGTCAGAGAGAAGGACCATCAGGAATGAGTCCACAGTCAGTGAATGTAAGGGTCCTCTCTCCATGTCTGGAAATTAGTAAGCTTGTAAACTTGTACTAGAGAACGTTGGGGATAGGCTGGAATCAGGAATAAGAGAACACTCACAATGGAGGACTAATGAAAATAATCAAACTCCTAGTCTACTCTCTACCCTTGCTTGCTTGGGAAGTCAACTTATTTTTCCACCATTGATTTGTGGTCTGACTACTGGCAGGTAGCCCTCAACAAAGCTGATAAGGAGAAGGCTGAATTTGCCTGTCACATTGGGTCGTACTAATTTGGAGTTTTGCCCTTCAGACTGGCCGATGTGCCTGGAATTTTTTAGCAGGTCACATTGATAGTGTTGGTGGGACCCAGTGTGTGGGTCATGTTGCTATTCATCCTCATAATCCCAAATGGTGTGTTGAAACACAGCCAAAATATCATATTAAAAAAATCTGCTGAAGTGATAATCACCAGATTAAAGTGGATAATTAGCAAGGTTTACCTAAAAGGGTTGAAACAAATTAGGAATATACAGGCCATAGATGGAGAACTCTACTTGTTACAAGTATGCAAGGGAAAGCTGACAGTAACCGTAAGTGCTACCATGTCCCGGATCATCAAACTTCAGATGAGTTACTCTGCTTTTGGGAAATCTTAGGTCCTCCTGCCTTACTATTGGGTGGTGGGAAAAATACAGGGCCATAGGAGCTCCTAATAAGGCAAACAGGCATAACTGTATGCAAATTACCCCAATTATTGAAACCAATAAAGAGAATAGATTTACATGAATTAGTGGACAATTTAGTGATGGTGGGCAGAAATCATTCCACCAAGGGAGACCCAACAGCAAATATTATAGTTTGGTTGTCAGTAGGTGGTAACATAATTATCATAGTTCTAGTGAGTTATGGGCGACTTTGGCTCAAAAAGCATAGCGTACAAAATGAGCCAGTGAGAGAATGAGGGAGAGGAGCAGAGATTAATGGACTCCATAGCACCCAAAGAGTCGAACAAACTGGAGAGAGGTTACAATTTCTCACTATACACGTGGAAACCAAAGAAAAGAGGGAGAGGAAAAGGGATATTTGTAGCTATCTATTCCACATTTTGGTTGAGTTTCTGGAGAAAAGGACAGTGTGAACTTTTGTTTTAATTTCAACCCCCTTTCCAAAAGAAAAAAAAAAAAATTCTCACCCTTGTGTCTGATGATTTTTATACTACACAGGAACCCATGGGTGGATTGATGAACATTGTTTTGGTATACCCACATTTTGATGAAGACATTTTTTATAGTCTTTGTGTGTGTAACTTGTGATAAATGCTGTTTCTTTCGGTTTTTTTTTTTTTTTAATCATTGTACAGTGAGATGTGGGATTGTGCATCTTGTTTCATGGGGAAGGTCATGTGATAACACTCCCCATTCTCTAGATTTTGTCTTGATGAGGGGGACAAAACTGGTTTTCACTTCTGTGGTATGCTAAAATGTCATTTTTGTGGGGTGTAATGAAAGGGAAAGATTTGAAGAGGTGGTTAAAGTCCTCTTGTTTATTTTGGAAGATCAGTAGAAATTACACTTCCTGTGATCTGAGTTACTTGAAGGGGTGATTAGAATTCCCTTGTCTCCTTTGGGAGATCTGAAGAGTGACACTTCCTGTAAGGTGACATTTTTCTAGGGGTGTTTGAAATCCCCTTTTGTTGGCTTGAACGAAGGGCTGCTAACCATCCTCTGGTATATTATGACGTACCAGGGGGCAAGGACCTGTCATGAATTTATCCCTCTTTTGGGTTGGAGCCTAACCACCTCCTGAAGGTAGTCCATCTGCAGATTTTTTTTTTTTTTTTTTTTTTAATGGAATTATGTAGAGTTCCATGTTTTCAGCTTCACATGAAGTATTGCTATTATACTTGCTTTTTTTTATTTGTTTTAATTTTTTTAAATTGTCTTTTATTGATGTTTTGTAATTTATATAATAAATGAAAAAAATTTGGAGTGGGAGGAGTGGAGCAATACAATTTCTCACACATCCTTAGGAGATAAATAGATTCTTTTTTCTTTTGAGTCAATTTAACAACCAGGATTTTTCAGGATTCTTGTCTCTAGCCCACCTTTGAATTGGCAAGCATAAAATTTAGTGATTTTAGTAGATAATATAAATCATAAAAGTAGAGTCCTTTTGAAAAACTGACCACCCAAAAGCTGAATGGGTGGTCTCCTTTTCCAGAACACAAGTGGACCAATAGGGGTAGTAGGACACAAGCCAGTATCCATATTGGCAGAGTTGGTCAGCAATCATTGAACAGAAGGACCAGCAGGAGCGAGTCAGCAGTCACACAGATAACAGGCAGTTAATGTACAGGTTCTTTCTGTGTCCAGAAGTTAGTAAGATAGCAGCAGTTTACCTTCTCAAAGCAGAAGGAACACATTGCTGATTAGGTGAGAAATTGTATTTGATATTTCCCAATTAGTGTCTTGAAAAGCATTTGTCATTATTCTTTGTTGAATTTGATCATGGCCAAACCAGTGAACATAACGAGTCAGTTGTATATGCATATACAGCCGACCTTGGATATCACAGTTTGTGTAGTATCATTCAGAAGGCATCATCAGATATGCATGTATATACATTTACTTACGTGTCTTCTGTCACCATGTATACAAGTGTACCACAGCTCATAGTACTTGAATCAATGTCAGGATTGAACTGACGGTCTGTCATTTTCTTCTGAGTTGTAGCAATTGTTCTGCTGTCTCTTTTCCACAACTGCACAGTGGATTGGTAACATTTTCAGTTTTTATCGTAGTTCAACAAATGAACTGAAAGTATTTCCATGTCTATACTGAATGAATATTGTTTATTAATAAAATATATATGCGCACGCACGCACACACACACATTTCGAAACTACGTTAAAGAAAGTATATCTCAAATATTGGCAAATAATCTACCACATTTTAGGTAATTTATGCTGCTTCATAATTATCTCCCTTATATTACCGTGCATCATTTCAATTACTTCCCTTGCACACCCACCACACACACACACACACACACTTAATAGTAGTTTGTAACGTTTTGCCATTGAGTGATTTACGATAAAATAGGCACCTCCACTTTTGCGTTAAAAATAGCATAGCGGGATGAAAAAAGGCACCAAACTTAATAAAAACAAAATTTTGCCGTCAAAATGTTTTATTATTAAAGATAAAGTATTTTTTTTATTATTTTAAGAAATTTTATTTTACTCCTTTTCATTCAAAATCTGGTTAAAAATCATTTTTTTATGCATCAACTGTGTAAAAGAGTTGACTGGGAATTTTAGTTCCTTGATTTGGAAATTCTTGAAAAATCAAATAATGAAACTTTCAAGACTTTCACAAATTCATGAAATTTCTAGAAATTAAATTCCATCCTCCAAATTTGTTTTATTTACTGTTGTCCTCATCTTTATTATTGCCATATTCACAATGTTTCTGCCTTCAGGTGATTGGAATTTCAAACTGAACCCTTTCTGTCCACCAGGACAGATTGTTCTAGTTTCACATGTCATGCCAGTTCTAGATGTATCAGTTATCTCCCTTTAACTCCCCACTGCAGGGTCAAGTCACTAGATCCAACCAATGCGTTTATCTACTAGGCCATGTGTCCTTGAGGACATCAGTGGATTAATTTTTAGGGACTTATAAACTTAATGTCTCGGTAATCTTTTTTTTGAGAGCTCATATTGCAATTTTTGTTATTGCTTTTCTGTAACTCTCTGGTTCCCATATTGTATTTGTTTCTATTCTTGGCCAACTTAGGAGATTTTTGTGGCCTAGGATATGTGCTGATTCCTTAAGTTTTTGTATTTTCCAGTGATGTTCTCTATTATTTCAACCTTGTCCTACAGGTGGCAGTGATTTCTCTTTTCCTTCCATATGTGGCCAGCTATGCCTGATTTTTATATTTCCCCCTTTCTTGCAGTCTTACATTAAGGGGCGGCTTGTTTCCCCTTTATATTTCTTACCACAGCTGTATGGCATGGCATACACACAGTCCTTAATCATGTTCTCCTCTATGGTGGGTCTTACTTGGAAGAGGTGTCTGTGAAATGTTAAACCACTTTTGAACATTGTTTTGATGTTATATGAACCACAGATCTTTTGTATTTTTTCCGATAATCTCTTCACATAGGATAGGCAGACCAAAGCAGTTTTCCAAGTGCTGTTATCCTTTTGTATCCTTCTATCCCAGTTTGTTGGACCTACTTCCGTGTACCCAGAGTAGTTGTTACATTGTAGGGTACTGCTTATACTGACCATTTCTTGTTCATATGTCTCTGGGACACCACTTATGACTTTTGCTTGATGTTGTAAGCAGTGGATAATCCCTTTCTTTACACTGTATAGGTGGTGGGAGTTGAAGTTGAGGTATTGTCTGGTGAATGTTAGCTTGGGGTATATGTATGTCTTGAACCCATGCCCTGTTCAAGATATATATCTCCAGGAATGCAAGTTTGTTGTTTTCTATCTCCATTGTGAACTGTATTGATGATCTTATTTAGTTCACATGGTCCACTAGTAGCTGGATCTCTTCCTGGTGTGGCCAGAGCATGAAGCTGTCATCTACGTATCTCAGACATAGGGTTGGCTTTAGTGATGTAGATTCTAATGCCATTTCTTTGACATATTCCATGTATATGTTGCTGATAAGGGTGAGTCCATTGCTAAGCCTTCTTCCTCTTAAAATATGTCTGATCCCATTCCAAAGTCTGTTGTTTGTGTACAGAAAGTCAGCATCTCTATTAGGTTATCTATTGGTATAATGGTCCATCCTCTTAGGGATGAAACCGAGGCCAGTCTGTCCTTGATAGTGCCTCCTTCATGGGTACCTTTTTGTGAACAAACTCACCATGTCCACACTCACCATCTGGTTGGATTGGATAGGAGCATCTTTGATTATTTCCACAAAGTAGGCAGAGTTTTGGACATATGAAGATGAATTTCCTATTAATGGGTCAATTATATCTACAAGGAAGCAGCTTGGGGGGTGGCACACAGAGCTTTGGCAGCTAACAGTTGGCCTGAGCAGAATACTGTCTATGTGAATTTTGGGGCAACTGTATATGTGAGGTTGCTTAGTGTAACTTCAGAGTATGAAGGTATCATCTATATATCTTGGCCATAGACTTGACTTTAGTGATGTTGATTCTAATGCCATTTCCTGAAAGTATTCCATGTATATATTAGTGATAACAGTGAGCCCATTGCCAGGCCTTCATCCTGTCGATATGTTTGATTCCATTCTAAAGTATGTATACAGAAAATCAGCATCTCCAAAAGTTATCCATATACTGGTACGTTTTAGAGATGTTCCGAGGCCAGTCTGTCCCTGATTACTGATAGTGCTTCCTCTGTGGGTACCTTGACGAACAAACTTACCATGTCCAGGCTCACCATCTGGTTGGATTGGATGGGAGCATTTTTTATTTCCACAAAATGGGCAAAGTCTTGAACATAGGGTAACTTTCCTATTAATGGATCCACAATGGAGTGATGCAGAGGGTGGCACACAGATTTGGCAGCTAACAATTGGCCTGAGAGGAATACTGTCTTTGTAATTCTTTGGGGGAGACTTTATATGTGAGGTAGCTTGAAGTAATGCTGCAACAACTGCCTGTATATCTTAGGTGTGAAGTGGTCCCTGTTCTTGATTAGGAACTGTGACAGTTTTCTTTCTGTTTTCATTGTTGGATCCTTTCCTTTACTATGGCTACCATTTTCTAATGAGGTCGTTCAGTTTTCTTTGTCTATCACTATAGTTACACTGCCTTTGTCAGCTGGTAGTATCATGTTTTCATTCCTCTGTAGTGTTCTGATTGCCAGCCTCTCCAGTTTTGTGATGTTTGATTTAGGCGGGTTGGCTTTCTCCAGTATCTCTCACTTTCCATCTTAGCTCATCCACCCAAGCCTGAGGGATGTTCAAGGCAATTTCCTCAATTCAGGTAATGATGTTCAAGTATGGTATCTGCATGATGGTTATGGCAAAGTTGAGACCTTTGTTTAGTACTGACTCCTCAAAGGCTAGTGTTGACTGATGTTGATTATTGCCTTCACTGGGGAGTAATCGACCTTGTGAGTCACCTTCTGATCTTTCAATCCGATCAATTTTTGTGCTTGGTGGGCCTTGACTGCATCAAATTTATGTCTGAAGGATTTATCCAGGTCATCTTCATTGGTAATTCTGTTGAAGATGGCCTTGAGTCTCTGGGAGATATCAGATTACAATTTTTGTTTTATCCAACAGTTTTACTGGATTCTTTCATCGTGAATATGGCAACAAAGATTAGGACAACAGTCTGAACAATTTAACTAGTGTAAATAATTACAATAGCTCATTTCAGAAATATAGACATATTTGTTTTGTTAGTTAAATGAAGAACTCCTTGGAGAAGGTAAATCTTATATATATATAATAACAGTTATTGCTTTGCCAAAAATCTACTCCAAATATTAAAATAAAAACTGCAGTAAAACTATTTAATTAGATAAGCTTTTAATTACTTTTATAAATAATATATATTAAGGACATTATAGTCTGAAGAAAAAATTTTTTTTGATTAATGAATTTTTATAAGGATTGTTTTCATGTTTTTGGGGATTTTTTTTTATAATAATTTATAAAATTTCAAAAATCTTTGAAAAATTCTTCAAAACTTCAACCTCATTACGTTATTAAGTGAAGACTATATTTACTAAGCTAAAATTGAAAAGCTTAATACAAATCATCACACACTAAGATTTTAAAAGTAATTTTCTTTGTGTGTGTGTAAATGTGCCCATTTTGAAAGTATGGGTTACCATACATAACTTTATCAGATGTTGACTGTAGTAAGTATAAAGTCAACATTCCTAAAATTAAATTACAGAAAATATTTACAACATTTTTAAGATTATTGAGTACTTAAAAATTATATAAAAAAAGAAAAACGTTCACCTTTCATCAATACAAATGTTGTTGGTATTATAAATTCCAATAAAAGAAAATGTTTCTGTTATGATGCAATAAATTTGACTTAATGAACATATTAAGATACTTGTAAAATCTTTGTAAAATATTTAAATATTTGTAAAATATTCTTAACTCCCAGGATCATCATAGATAATTTCAGGAGTTACTTGTCATAGATTGAGATGGATTTGCTAATAATTTGACTTTTTACATCCCTTTGTTGTCTTTTAATAAATATTTAACTTTTTTTTTTTTTTTTTTTTTTTTTTTTTAAATTGTAGGAAGTGCTGGCAGTTGTTGCTTGTGTGTTGACTGGCAGCATGGAGAGGAACGTAGATACATTGTGGCTGGTTATGCAGATGGTAAGTATTCTCCTTATTTACATAATTCCCATTTTGTAGATACTAATTATAGGAATAGACATTTATAAATTATAGGAATAAACATTAAATATAATAAATCATAGAATCTTTATTATAATTTAGTTCACTTTTGTTTGTTTTCTGTACAATTTATTCATTTTAATTTGGGTAATAACATCAAAGAAAACTTTTATCAATTTTTTTTTAAACTCCATCCAAATAGTATTATTCAATCTCCCTTATGTGAGTGGGAACTAACAAGGCAGCACCCAGGCAATTTTTCAATTGGAAAATTCATCACCATGACAGAAATAAAGAAAAAAAAATTAAAATCTGAATTTTTTTATAATTTTATTATATTCAAATACACTAGATATCAGAATAATAAAACTTCAAAACATGTTACAATTTTTATATGTTGGTTCATATGTGTGTATTTTTTTCTGCCACTGCTGAAACCTGGTTATGTCATCCAATCTTGTTCAGCTCTTTGTAACAAACTTTTTTTTCATGTGCACAACATATTTGTAGATATAAGCATGTTTTACTTACATGTGTGTGTTTGTTATATATATATATATATATATATATATATATGTGTGTGTGTTGGTCAGTAACGCATTATTGGTAGGTCTTATTCTAACAGTTATTGGGTGGGCTGTAATGGTAGTTTCAAGTTATTTTAGCAGGTGGGAATAATTGTGAATCCAATTGCGTTTTGTGGCTATTTTATAGTGTTGACTTTATAATTGATTGCTTTGTTATTTGTTAGTATACATTTGTGTTTATGCATGTATTCATAGTTTGTTAATTTACTTATTTACTTTATTGATTTGGATTAATTCATAATTTATTGATTTTTAATTTAATTTTATTTTTTTATCCATTTTTAGTTTTCGATTTTTTTAGTAATCTAGTCAAAATTTGTTTTAGTCTTTGCATTTTGAGATGAGTTCTGATTGTTCATTTAGTAATTTGTTTTGGTTTGGGAAGGTAATTATAGCAGTTTTCTCCTCCAGAAAATGTTTACAGTTTGGATTTATTGTTGTAGGCTGATGCTATTTTCCTTGTTTTCCATGATATTTTTGGTGTGATTTGGTTTGTTTTTAATATAGAGGAACCTCCACTAGGTTGCATAAAAAAGCAGCATAGCTTGAAGAAAAAAGGCCCATAACTCGGCGAAAACAAAGTTTTGTCATCAAAATATTTATTATTAAGAGGAAAGACCAAAGTATTTTTTATTTTTTGAAATTTTTTACTCCTTTCTAGTATGTGGAAAATTTTGGTTAAAAATCTTGTTTTTTTTTGTTTTTGTTTTTGTTTTTTTATAAACAGGACTCTTTAGAGAAAGTAAATCATCAGGTTTTTTTTTTTTTTTTTTTTTTTTTTTTGTAAAACAATTACCGGTTTCATCGAAAATCTGCTCTGAATTGTAAAAAAAAAAAAATGCAAAAAAACTATGACATTATTTAATTAGAAAAGCTTTTACTTGCTTTTGTAAATAAGTTATATTAAGGACATTATTGTCTGAAGAAATAAAACTTTTTTGATGGATAATGTATTTTTACAAGAATTTTTTTCACTTTTTAAAAAATTTATTTATAATATTAATACTTCAAAAATCGTTTATTAAAATTCTTCATTGCTTTTAAACATGCAATTTGGTGATATGGTTAAGTGAAAAGTAAATTTACAAATCGAAATTTGTAAAGCTCATAAGTCGTTTGTACCCGAATATTTTAAAAATAATTTTTAGTGAAAAAAACGTTCCTAATTTCTATCTATGGGGAATCTTTACATTAATCTTTTACATAACATAACTTTTACATAACATAATCTTTACATAACATAATCTTTTACATAACATAATCTTTACATAACATAATCTTTTATAATGACATAAATCTTTTACATAACATAATCTTTTTTATAATCTTTACATAACATAATCTTTACATGACATAATCTTTACATGACATAATCTTTTACATGACATAATCTTTTACATGACATAATCTTTTACATAACATAATCTTTTACATCTTTATATAACATAATCTTTTACATAACATAATCTTTTACATAACATAATCTTTACATAACATCTTTTAATCATAATTTTACATAACATAATCTTTTACATGACATAATCTTTATGACATAATCTTTTACATAACATAATCTTTACATGACATAATCTTTACATGACATAATCTTTACATAACATAATCTTTACATAACATAATCTTTACATAACATAATCTTTACATAACATAATCTTTACATGACATAATCTTTACATAACATAATCTTTACATGACATAATCTTTACATAACATAATCTTTACATAACATAATCTTTACATGACATAATCTTTACATGACATAATCTTTACATGACATAATCTTTACATGACATAATCTTTTACATAATTTGACATAATAATTTTTACATAACATAATCTTTACATAACATAATCTTTTACATAACATAATCTTTTACATGATGACATAATCTTTTACATAACATAATCTTTTACATAACATAATCTTTACATAACATAATCTTTTTACATAACATAATCTTTACATAACATAATCTTTTTACATAACATAATCTTTACATGATATAATCTTTTACATAACATAATCTTTTATAACATAATCTTTTACATAACATAATCTTTTACATGACATAATTTTTTGACATAACATAATCTTTTTGACATGACATAATCTTTATATACATAATAATTTGATATAATAATCTTTACATAACATAATCTTTACATGACATAACATTTTACATAACATAATCTTTTACATGACATAATCTTTACATAACATAATCTTTTACATAACATAATCTTTACATTTTTACATAACATAATCTTTACATAACATAATCTTTACATGACATAATCTTTACATGACATAATCTTTACATGACATAATCTTTACATGACATAATCTTTACATAACATAATCTTTACATGACATAATCTTTACATGACATAATCTTTACATGACATAATCTTTACATAACATAATCTTTTACATAATCTTTACATAATAATCTTTTACATGACTTTTACATGACATAATTTTTCTTTACATAACATAATCTTTACATAACATAATCTTTACATAACATAATCTTTACATAACATAATCTTTACATAACATAATCTTTACATAACATAATCTTTACATAACATAATCTTTACATAACATAATCTTTACATGACATAATCTTTACATAACATAATCCTTAAAAAGGTCACGTGATTTGATTGTCATCTGAGGCACTGCAATTATTTACCTTCAATATTCAGTTCTGTTTCATTAACGTGTTTGCAAAAAGTCCTTTCAAAATTTCTAAGTTAGTTTTAAGTTTTGTTAATTACTTTTTTACTAAATATTTTTATTTTAGGTATTTATTTTAGTTTGGGTCATATTTCATTGAAGTAATTTTTTTAAGTTATTATATAAGATAAGAAGATTAAGAACCTAAGAACCAAAACCTAGACTAAAAAAAAAAGTATTAAATAAAAAATAAATATTACATAAATACTGAAAAATGTTAATATTTTAAAAATTACTAGTTAAAAACCAAAAAAAATTCATTCACTTACATTTCCTAAAATTATATAAATTTTGGTCATCCATAGTAGCTGTCATCACTTTGTAACATCGATAACGTGAATAAAGTCATGAGAAAATTCAGACACATCGTTAAGAAATGTTAGGATACAATTTTTTTTTATGCTATAAGTAATGTTTGTTTCAATCAGATTAATTTAACTTTAAATTTTCTAATTTTACTCAAATAACATGTCAAAAATATATAATTTATTTTAGGAAGAAGTTTAAAATTAAAAAATTTTTTATTTACAAATTTCTTAAAATTTAAGAAAATGGCCGCTTTTAAGAAATTTAAAAAAAAAAAAATCGAGCATATATTTGACATTCTAATCTATATAATTTCTATCTGAAATACACCAGAATATTTTAGTTACTGGAAATAAAATGATTTTACAGTGGCTTGATATATTACTTTGTTCTGTAATCAATTTCCATTTGTTCTTTGCTTTGCAGTTACATGTGGGTTTGATTTGTGCAGATGGTTTGTTTGTTGTTTTCTTGTTTTTTTTTTTTTTTTTTTTTTTTTATTATTATTATTCATGCCCTGTTCTCTGTGCAACAGTAGGGGATTTTTACTGTGTTTTTGTTGAATATCTTGTGGACAGTGCTTGATGGAGGTGTGTATCACTTTAATGAATATTTTTCCTACATTATATTTACATATGCTCATTCCCTGATATCGAGCACTTTAACTCATAAATATAGCATACCTTTATATATATATATATATATATAAGGAGAGATGAAGCCTTTAAGTTAACCCTTCTAGAAGAAATCCCTCTGATATAAACCCTGTGACTTGAATTGCATTCTAGAATTTAGACTAATACTTCCTTTTAGATCAATGTTATCATTATTCAGAGATTAGGATTGGTCTTGTGTATGGTTTTTCCTCACTTTAAAAAGTTTCAAGCACAGGCATTGCCCAAATTATCACTAGAAGATCTGTGTTTAAAGCCCAGTGGCAAAAACAAAAGTTAGTAACAATATAGTAAAGAGTGTGGGTTCCTAGCTAGGATCAAAAACCATAAATATGATTATACTCTGAAAGAACATAGTCATTGTTATATGTAAATTTATTTTATCTATAACTTTTTTCCTTTCTCTAAAATGGTGAGATTGTAAGTGGCCATATTGAACCAACAAAATCAGCTAAAACCAATTGTCCTAACACTTGAAGTAAGGAACAAATTCAAAAACAAATATTGACTGAAATTACCTGCTGCTCTGTATCATAAAATTATTGAAATAAATATTCAGTTTTTAAAAAGTGCTGCCATAATTTTGGGAGATTTTGTTGTAGATTAAAAAAAAAAAACAAAAACAAAAACACTGGATTTTCCTATAAACTGGCCTGAATGCTTTCTAATATAATTAAATAAGCCCTGTGATTCTTAAAATCCTTCTTAAATACTAAGAGGGAAATCTCATTTGGTAAACCATGTACATTATAGAATGGGTATGTGCTGCTAATTATATTGACTGTAATAAATACAGTCAGTCTAAATCAATGATTCCCAATGTGGGGCATGGAATTATTTTGGTGGGGCATATGTAGGATGTGCACCCTTCAGCTTACTATGCCAACAGAATAAGGGGGCAATTTGAGAATGAGTTATTGGCAGTGAATTGTTTTCTAGTGAGTCTGAGTGAGAGTGTTAATGTTAATGCATGTTAATACATACGATGCATATACAGTATGCATATATAAAAATATTTTGCACCAGAATTTTAGAAATACCAAAGAGGGGTGTGGCCCAAAATCAGTTGGGTACCACTGATCTAAATCATCTAATTTTGTTTCATGCCATATATTATGTTTGACAGGAGCTACAAGACTTTGGGATTTAAAAACACAATCTCCACTGCTGAGAACGAGCATAAGCATGGACATGTCTGATGTGTTCCTCTACCCAATCCGTTGTTTTAAGAGTCACTTAAGTGAGGTACGAGCTGTATGTTGGTCGCAGACTGTCCATGACACATTTGCAACTTGTGGAGCTGATCGTGATGTGAAATTCTGGAAGAGTTCTGATACTAGCTTCCCATTCTGCTGTGAAAAATTCTGCCAATGTATGAATGCTAGATGGGTTCAGCCATGGAATGGTGTTGTTGTGGCACAGGACGATGCCTTTTGGTACGTGCATTCTGCTCTCTAAATCTAGTCACTTTTTACTAACTCTCTATTATATTTGTTTTCTTCCTAGACTAACTTTTTTTTCCTTTTTTTGATCTCTCATATTGGAATGATAATGAAATAACAAGTCTTCATTAAATATTCTTGCAATTGAGTGTTTTACTCTGAGACACTGGGGAGAAATGACTTCAAACAAAAGGAATTAAAATTTGCTAATTTATAAATTGGTAGGTATTTCCCTATCTTTTTTTTTTTTTTTTTTTAATTTACATAGGGTTCCCCCACCTCCTTTTCCTTTTTTTCCTTTGTAATTGCTTAATTTGTAGTTTTTTTTTTTTTTTTTTTTTTTTTTTTAGTAATTTGCACTGTAGCTGATCACTGAATCAAGATTTCTGTACCTGTTTGAAAGTAAATTGAATGATTAGTCTCACTACTCCTGTGATGTCATCTGTCATTTTGGTTGGGCTAGATGCTTAAGTACATAAATTGGTTAATTTGGAAAGTTAGAGTTCAACTAACTGATCAATGCGGTCAAAATAAATGTCACAAGAGACCAAGTAATATTGATTCCATATTGAGAACAAATCAATACATTCTCCCTACTACATCATTTGGCGACTAAATGAAGTAACACCCACAGATATAAAGCTATCCTTAACATGTTTTAGTACATAGACAAATTTCTATAGTTCCTAATTTTAAAACATTTAAAAGATTTTTTTCTATTTTTTACCAAATTTCTAAGCATCACAGACTGAAATTAATCTTAAAAATTTACCTACATACCTAAGAATCTTTTTTTTTTTTTTTTTTTTTCTTTGTGGGGTATTCTTGAAGCTGGAGAAAATATGGTTCTTAATTACCTTACAAATGGCATAAATCACAATTTACCTTAATTTATTTTTATAGACTTTATTAAATAAACTTTAATTCTAGAACAATATCAGATGAGAAATGTAATATGTTTAAAAAATAATCTTGTCATTTTAAGACAACAAATCTATAATAATATTTATTCCAGGAAAAAAACTTTTTATAATAATAATTATTATTCCTGAAAGCAAATAAGTTTTTTTTTCTTTGATTTCAGCTTCGATCATTGTTGTGCTTATTATCAAGATGCTGGTTACTGTTTGCCTGATTTATATGGACGACGTTCTGTTATGTGGCATAATGCATGCATTTGGGTGAGTGAATTTGTAAAACTGATAAATCTCTGGTCAACTTTATCTAGTAAAATAAGACACAAGTTCTTTAAGTGAATAGGTTCAGACATGGCATTTGGGTAAATGAATGATACACTATACACATTATATACTATATTTAAAACCATACACACAAGATCTTTAAGTGAATTCAGACAAAAATCATTTGTCTTTTAGTAATTATGCTGTTGGCTACAAATAAAAATCTTTTTTGAAAATCAGTCAAAGGTTAAGTAGAAAACAAATTTTTCTCTTTTGAAATGACCTCTGGTGACTTTCAAAAACCTTACAGGTCATCACCACATATTCTGTTTTTTTTTTTTTTTTTTTTTTTTTTCACTCAAATTTCCACCACATAACACTGCCCACATTTAGGGATATCTCATCTAGTTCTTATTTTAGTATTGCTTAGTTATTGCCTGCCCCATTTCCACTGTGACAGTAGCCTAGTAGGTTAAATCATCAGTTCATGAATTTGATGCCATAGTAATTATGAGTTCAATTCCTGGACTGGGAAGTCTTTACTTAAACTCAGTGGAGATGGGGAGGAGCAATAACTGAGCAGTTCTAGAATAAAAACTAGATGAGATATCTCTCAACATGGACAGAGAAATGAGAACATTCTACACCTGTAGATTAAATAAAGGGTTTAGTTCAACATTTCTTGTAGGTAATCCAGATTGACAGAAGAACTGATGACACAACAGCCAAAACCTTGTGACAAAGAAGAGGACAATAGTCCTTATGTAAATAACTCCTCATCCCAGAAATTCAGACAGAAATTAGCATAGATATCATAATTCAGGTCCAAACTCTCTGTTCCAACTCTCTATAATTTAGTCAACTTTTAGTAACTAAAATTAGAAAAATGAAATACATCTTATCAAAATAATTTTAAATAAATATTGCATTAGTTTCATTTCAATTTCAGAAACAAAAATCTTTGATCTTAGCCTGAAATTTTTTAATGTATAATTGTTTATTTACAGGATGTGACGCATTCAAGCTGGTTAAATGTGGCAGTCACATGTGATAGTACAGGAACGTTAATGTTGTTCAAATGTATGAACCTTTGGAGAGGAAACAAGTCAAAGAAATTAATGTATCGAAGACATGTAAGTTTTTCTTTGGGTAGAAAATAAACAATGAATTTACTTTGTGTAAAATTTCTTCATTTACAAGCAGTCCCTTACCTTTTTGTTCAGATTAAAAATGGAAAAGGATATTAATAAAGATGCTGGGTGCAATTTTTAAAGCTTGTAATATTCAAAATTAAGCATTTGGTTATTTTCAGTAATTTTGATAAATTTTACCATAGCAGCAATTTTACTTTTTACTCCTGCTTTGCATACTTCTCACTGACATAAGTGGTCAGTGTTCAAACTCAGGTAAAATGACATGATATTGAATGGTGATTTTTCAAGACCTTCCCTATTTGTAAGGGGGATTAACAGAACACAGGAGTTTAGCTACCATGATTTGAACTTGATTACACACCAAAATGTTTCAGCTTTAAATAATCCATGAAGGATTAAGCCATAAAAAACAATCGATTCTGATGCCATGAATGTCTTGATTTGTTATTAATGAACTAGAAAACTTCAGAAAAGCTGTTTCTGTTAGCTTTGTTGTTTTAAAATACCCTAGTTACAAAAGTGAAGCTTTTAAGTGATTAAAAATGAATTAATCAAATATGAAATGAACACTTTTAATATTTAATGTCTCCTCTTGGAAATTGGAATTTGCTTTCTCATATAATTTGAACTTATTTTCTTAGCTTCTCTATGAGACAGAAGTCATCCCCACAAATGTCACAGAGGGGGTAAAACCTGATGTTTCTGCTCTGCTTGACCCCAGAACATATGATGAAATTGTTTCAAAATGTCAGTTGACATATAAAGATAAGAAAATGGTAAGTTTCTATTTTTTTTTCCTCTCTCTCTCTGTTAAAATCACCTGGTTATTGATGCTATGAATATCTATTTAAAATCCATCAGAATTTCAGGACACTGATCCTGTAGATCAGTAACTGACAATTCAAATTCTGCAATAGGAATAATTATCATATTGACTATTATGTTTTACATATATAATCTGTGTGTATATATATATATATATATATATATATATATATATATATATATATATATATTGTAATAATCCGTTGGTATATAATCCAAGTTGATCCTAATAATATAAAATATTAAAACTGATCCACAAAATGAGCTCAATGTATTTATTATAATGGAGCATATAAATAACAAAATAGAGAAATCCAAAATTTCCTCACAAGAAAAGCTATTTCAACTAGTATTACACTAGTATTTTTCAAGTAAAATGGTGTGCAGATACAAAGTTAGAAACTTAAATATTTAAAAAAAAAAAAAATAAAGACTAGGCAGCTGTTGACAATAAGATATTGATTTTAACCAAACAAAACCCATATAATGGTGGGGGGGGGCATATAAAACCCATATAATGGTTAGGTATAATTTTTTTTCTCCCAAAATTTGATTTCCCTTTGTTTTTTTTACATAACCCCGACTTTGGCTTGTGGAATTAACTCAAATAAAAGTTTCAGAAATATATATATATATATATATATATATATACATACACACACACACGCGCATTAACTCTTTCTATTTAAGCCAGACAATATCCACCTCTCCTTACCATTATATTGGTTTTGTTTGGTTAACTCAATATCTTATTGTCAACGGCAGTGTCTTCTTCCTTTTCTTTTTTAAGTATTTAATTTTTAAGTTTCTGACTTTGTATCTGCACACCATTTTAGTTAAAAAATGCTGGCATATTAATGCTACTTGAAATAGCTATCCTCATGAGGTAATTTTAGATTTCTCTATTTTGTAATATGTGTGTGTGTGTGTGTGGCTGAGCAGTTAGAAAGTTCGCTTTCTGACAATGAGACCAGTGTTCCAATCTCACCACGGTTGATTTATCAGAAAGAAGACTTCCTGATTTTATCGGTTTGGAGGAGGCAATCCCAGTGTGCAACACCTTTGGAGAGTGCCTGAAAAACACCATGGGTTGACCCAAGCCTTGTGAGTGAAATTGGATAGACAGAACACTTGTGAGCCATCAATAGCTGTGATAGTATAAAGTCACAAGTCATCATGACCAAGGATTTGAGTGTGCTGGCCTTCTTCAGATTGTTGATCATGCTAGATAACATGCTCTTTTCCAGAAACTGTAACTAAGGTCTGCTTGGCAGAGTTGCAGTATAAACTACAGTTGTGCTCTGTGGATGTTGAACAAACACAAATGTGCCTGAGTGAACGTCTGCACTAGGGATTGGATAGCCACCCTAGTAGACAGGTATCCTCGAATGCAAGTGGCCAGCTATTTTATACACACACACACACACACACACACACACTTGTGCAAATTTATTGAAACAAAACAAATAATTCTCTTATTTATTTTTTTCCTATTTTTCAATGAAACATGACCCACTGCATATGTTAGTACTTCATATGTCTATTGCATGAAGCCGTTCCTTACAGATTGACCGCAAATTCTGGATTGGATTTAAATTAGAAAAGTTTCCAGGCTAGTCTATAGAACTTTGATTTGCTCACTGGTAAGGCTTGCCAGTGTGTTTATGCAGTGTTAGAATTTTCGTACACCTCCTTGGAGCAACGTCCATCACAGACAATGGCTGTAGGACAACTAATTGCCAGTCGAAACAGTAGTGTCTGGGCATGATAAAAAATCTGATGCAATCACCAATGACGCAATATTTTTCAAGGCCAAAAACACCCCTAAAATAGATTCATATTACTGCACACTACTACAAATGACCTAATCTGAGGGGAAAAATAGAAATCATTTACACCCTGTTATTCCAGTGGGTTTAAAACTGACCAAAAGGTGAAAGAAAACTAAAGCGGTTGTTTCAATTAATTTGCACAAGTGTGTGTGTGTGTGTGTGTGATTATATATATATATATATCTGAAACTTTTATTTGAGTAAGATTAACTGATTTAAAGTTTAATTAATCTGAATTAAAACAAATATTACTTACCTTTTAGTTTAAAATATCACAGAAAAGCATTTATTTTTATCATGGAAGTGGGTGTTTTTATGAAGTGTTGACATATTTATTGGCAACATCATGGTTGTGATATTTGGCTAAGAAGGAAATAATCGTAATAAAATTACATGGCGAATACAACCTAAACACAATTTTTCTTTACTTTTTTTTTAACTACCAAGTAATCTTAAAAATTTTAAATATTTTAAGTATTCTAATATTTTATTGAATTTTAGATAATTTGACTTTTATAGCTTTAGTTAGGAAGATGCTTGTTGAGAAAATGTTAGAAAATTACCAATAAATTTAAAAATTACCATCATTACCACTCTTATTTTCTGATAATGTTGTGTATGGACATCCGTATTTACAAAAGTTGGTACATTTATACTTGCATACCAAAAAAAATTAGAATATTTTGGTCAATTTCTCCCTGAATTGTAAGCTTTTTTCCATTTAGGATTAGTAAATATTGTTTTTATTTGATAACAATATCATTTGATTAATATTATAAATTAATACAAAATTTTAAGATTTATTATAATTAAAATTTTTTAAAAACTTATTGTAAAAATTCATTATACATCAAAAAAAATTAAGACAATAGTGTCCATCGTAAATCTTGTTCATAAAAAGTTTTTTTTTAATTAAATCATTTCTTGGTTTTATTGCATTTTAATTTTAAGATTCAGAACAAATATTCTGTAACAATAATTTGATTTAAATTCTCCAAGGACTTGTCCTTATAACTAATATAAGCATTAACATTGGTCTATATTTCTGAGATTTTAACTATTTACAGTATTTACGTTGTTTGGACTGTTGTCCTCCGTTTTAATGTAACATTCACAACATTTCTGAGTGTTATCATCTTTCTATCCCAGTTTGTGGGGACTGCAGTCCTATTCCCATGTTTGTTATTACATTGTTGAGTACTGTTTATATTGACCATTTCTTGTTCATATGTCTCTCAGTTACCACTTATGATTTTACTCGATGTTGTAGCCAGCAGACAATCCCTTTCTTTACACTGTATGGGTGGTCGGAGTCAAAGCTAAGGTATAGTCTCATGAACTAAATAAAGTGTTCAGTTCAAAATTCCAACCAATATCACCTGAAGAAAGCCAGAGTGTACAAGACAATACAACCATTCCATTTAGTTTTGACCTAATACATTTGCTTCTAAAATAACTGAGGCACTATAAATAAATTAGTCAAGAGATATTGTGTAATTTTGTGCGATATTAATATTCTCAATTAAACTTCTTTCTTGATAAGGTGGCCTGCCATTGCTAGAATTTGACCCCACTCACTCGGAATCAAGCCTATATTTGCCAAATATTTAACTTTAAAAAAAAACACTTTTTCGAGATGATAGTTTACACATCATTTTTTTTTTTTTTTTTTTTTTTTTTCAAATGTTTTTGTAGGATGTCATCAAAGCAGATGTGAAATTTGGTTCTGGTAAAAATCTTCCTCGAGAAAGAGTTGGATCCTACCCTCTACCTGCCCTCTATAAGGTGAGTGTGTCTCTCTCCCTCTCTCACACACATACGCACGCACACACACACACACACACACACACACACCTCCAAATGTAAAAATGAAAAGAATATAAGTTCAAATGTTCATAACATTCATTTAAAAAAAGCTCAATAATGGAAAATTTTTATGCATTTTTGTTGAGGTAACTTGCATGTTTCAAAGTAACTGTTTATAATAAATATTTATTGCTCTACTTCTGTATTGAGCTCTTTTTTAAATTAATGTTATGAACGTTTGAATTTTATATTCTTTTTGTTCTTTTACATTTGGATAGTTTGCTCCTATTAAGGTTGAGCACTTTTACCATTAATCTAAACTGCAAATGTGGATAAAGTTGATTTCGGAATTTCGCTGAAAAATATTCCTATTCGAAACAAATTGGAGTACTTTCAGAAGTTAGTCTCAAAGACTGAAGATTTTATACAAAGGATGAGCTGAAAGGTGTATTTTTTCATTAAAGACCGGGGAGTTTCCAAAACAAAAGATGTGTATGGATTTAAAAATCTGAATACTGCACCTCTACACAACTTGGAGAGAAATTTATTTGATATTATCAACAATATCACCTTTCATAACTGTAAAAATAAATTTCAAAAACACTTGGACATGTTGATTCAGGATATAAATGATTCAAATCTGATTTTTGTAAAATCAGATAAAACTTTCAAATTTCTATAAAGTGAATCCTAAGAAGTACAAGGCTTTGATAAAGAAAAATTTAATGAAAAACTATAAAGAAAAAAGTTAACATTGACAATTCTAATTGTGTTAATACTATCAACTCTTCATCTAAACAAATCACTGACAAATTGAAAATCAGTGATAGGGTAGCCAAACTCACTACTAAGGAGGCTTATGTGTTATTAAAAGATCACAAACTTGAATTTCAATTGCCCACTAGAATTATTAATCCAACTAAATCGGAGATTGGTAGAATAAGTAAAGTGATCTTAGAATGCGTCAACCTCCAAATAAAAAATCAACTTGATCTTGTACAGTGGACCGGTAGGTACTTCTAACGTGATTGATTGGTTCAAGAATATTGAAGACAAAAGGAAATGTACTTTCATCCAATTCAACATCGTGGATTTTCATCCCTTTATCTCTATAGAACTTTTCCATTTCTCAATCACTTACTTTTTTTTTTTTTTTTTACTATTGACTGCCAGTCCCTTACTCACTGACCCTCTTCTTGACTCTGCTTATATGAAATACTGGCTGGGGTCATACCACCTCTATCTGTCCACTTGTGTTCAAGAGAAGGAGACCACCCATTCAGCTTTTGGGTAGTCAGTTTTTCAAAGGACTCTACTTTTATGATATCTAAAATCGCTAACAAAATTTTGTTTGCCAATTTAAAGGTGGGCTGGAAACAGGAATCCTGAAAAATATTGGTCATTAAATAGAATCAAAGATAGACTGGAGACCAGATTCCTAAGAAATTCTGGTCACTAAATTGACTTAAAATGAAAAAGAATTTATCTATTTATCTCATAAAGATGTGTGAGAAATCATATTGTTACAAAAGCATGTGAGTTTTATTTCTATGTAATTTATTTTTACCACTTTTGGTTTTACACTGATTTTATTTTTAAAAAGTTTTCAATAAAATCTGAACTTCTCAGTATGCAAATTAGATAAAGTGTAATTGTTGACTAATCAGAAATTTCTTCCTTTTTGACTGTAAAAATAAATCTGAAAAAGTCATGTATCAGGCTTCATCCTTTTTTTCCTATCTAATATCATGTAGAAAGAAAAGAATTTCTGAACATAATGTGACTTTGGCATTCTCTAATATTTGTGTATTTCATTTAGTAAAATATAAACATTTTTCTTGGCACTCTCTTTTAAGAATTCTTATAACTTCCAAATTTTATGAGAATCTTTGTCAGTTCCAGGGAACATCAAAAGAACTTTGGAAGAAAAATGAAATGGCACAGAAAAGTCATAGATAACATATTGCTTTACAAATCTTGATGACAAATATCATTATCTAAAATTTTCAAAAATTTAATGACATTTTTTTTTTTTTTTTTTTTTTTCTGAAAAACTTTTTCCTTTTGTTGTATGGCATTTTTCTTGTTGATTACTTAACATGTAAAGGTTTTAAAATGGTTAGGGAAGTCAACCAAACATGTAGAAAGTCCAACTTTTAGCCTTTTTCTATTCTCCATGAATGATATTTTCTTTCTTCTATGCTAATAGAGCCATTCACAAATGTAACTTCTAACAGTAGGGCCTGTTTTAAATGAGTGTCAGAAGTGCTATATATATTCTAGGTAAAAAGGAATTGTGTGTGTGTGTGTGTGTGCGCATGTGCAAGGGAGGGGGTTTGCAGTTGAAAAGATTGATAAAGCCAAATATGTATAGCATATATTGTAATGTATGTTTATTAGAATTGAAATCTCTAATCTGTAAACATTCAAGAAGCAAAATATTTGTAAGCAAGTTACTCTATTATTTTATATAACTGAACTCCTTAATCAAAATCTTTAGTAAAATTTAACTTTTAAATAATGGTCTTCAAATTCATAAATCTTACACAAGTATAGAAGTTAACCACAAGTCTAGGCCTTGATAAAGAATTTATTGTGTCAACCATTTAACTGAAAATTAGGTTATACAGTTTAATATTGGCACTGAACAGGTGAAGATTTGTTGTTTTTTTTTTGTTTTTTTTTGTTTTTTTTTTTTTTGTTTTGTTTTTTTTTTTTTGTTTTTTTTTTTTTTTGGTTTTTTTTTTTTTTTTTTTTTTTTGATTGGTTTTGTTTTTTGTTTTGTTTGTTTTGTTTTTTTTTGGTTTTGGTTTTTTGTTTTGTTTTTTGTTTTGTTTTGTTTTTTCTTCGTTTTGTTTTTTTCTTTTTTTTGTTTTGTTTTTTTCTTTGTTTTGTTTTTTTCTTTGTTTTGTTTTTTTTGTTTTTTTTTTTTGTTTTTGGTTTTGTGTTTTTGTTTTGGTTTTTTTTTTTTTTGTTTTTTTGTTTTTTTTTTTTTGTGTTTTTGTTTTTTTTTTTTTTTGTGTTTTTTTGTGTGTTTTTTGTTGTTTTTTGTTGTTTTTGTTGTTTTTTGTTGTTTTTGTTGTTTTTTGTTGTTTTTGTTTTTTTTGTTGTTTTTGTTTTTTTTTGTTTTTGTTTTTTTTTGTTTTTTGTTTTTGTTTTTTTTTTTTTGTTTTTTTTTTTTTTTTTTTTTTTTGTTGTTTTTTGTTGTTTTTTTGTTGTTTTTTTTTTGTTTTTTTTTTTTTGTTGTTTTTTTTTTTTTTGTTGTTTGGTTTTTGTTTTTTGTTGTTGTTTTTGTTTGTTTTTTTTTGTTTTGTTTTTTGTTTTTGTTTTTTAGAAAAGAGAGCCAACATTGATATATAGAGTAATAAAAAAACGTTTTTATTTTATTGTTATATCAACTTAATTTTGTTTAATTTCTTCAGGTGAATTTCAACCCAAATTTTGGTAGTTGTTCCTGGCTCCTATCTGCAGGTCAGGCAGGTTTGGTTAGGCTGCACAATCTTTCAGGGTTGTTTAGTGCCAACCAGCGACGCATATGGACATCTCAAATAAACAGATGAAAACTCAACCTGATGTAGACCATCTTACTACAGGAGACTTAAGGAGAGAAGAAAAAAAAAGAAAGAAAAATGAAAAAAAAAGACTGCAGCTATTTGAATTGTTGCAAATTGGCCTAGCCAATTTAACTCTGCCAAAAACCTGGATCCTGTTCTTTATAAAACCTCCTCTTCTTGTCGGTTCCATTTGAACAAATAGGCAAACCACCACCAGCAACAACAACAATCGAGCAAAAGCAAGACATTGTTAACTTTGAATCATTTATTCCAGACTCTTTCAAGACTAGCCTGTTGTCTGCATTTCCCATCATCCTTTGGTTGTTATTTTTCCAATGGGGAAACGGACCAAGAATGAGAAGACGAACAAAAACATGTTTTAAAAAAAAAAAAAAAAAAGTAAGAAATTAAATGAAAGCAAAAAGAAAACAAATATTCAGCAGGACATTACTTTGAAGTGATATACTCATCGCTTGTCACATTTTTCATACAAAAACAAGTTAATCACAATATTTTGAGGAGTCAGTTTCTCTCTTCTTACGGTCATGCTATGTAATTTTTATCAATGGATGATCAAAAATGAAGAAGAAATTACTATTATGTTGTGACTACAATCAAATCTTATATTTTACTTTATTTTTCAATGAACCTGGAAGAAATTAGCCCTAGAGTTTGTGGTGTTTGTTGAAGGGGGGTATTTTGATAGGGAGGGGATGGCTATACAAATGACAAAATAGAAAGGTCAAAGGAAATTAAAATGTTGATAAATTCTCATTAAAAAGTCATAGATTTTCTAAACTGACAGTGATCTTACAAAATTTTAATGATACGAGACTCCTGCTTTCTTGAAACAAAGGATCCTTTTAATGTTGCCAAAAAGTTAATAGTGAATAAGAAAAGAAAATAGCAATGAATGTGGAAGAAAAAAAGAGTGAAAATACTTTAAAACCATTTTAATTTAATCTGCTCCAGTCACTCCTGAAAAACTGCATCCCAAATTTATTATATAATTACAAAAACAAAATGGCTGACCTAACAAGTAATGTCAAAAAATGAAACCATGGGACCACATGTAAGATTTCTGCTTCACAGAATTTAGTGTACACAGATATCAACACTTTATGCAAGTAGATGTGCACACACAGACACACACACACTTATGCCTTTTAAATTTTCATTACAGAATAATGAAATTACCTTTGATGGAAATTAAATCTATCACCTCCAAGATTCCAAACCATTTTTTATTAACAAAAGTTTGATTAACGATAGACAATGAATTTCTTTTAAAAATTCTTATAAACGTTTATGCTGTGCGCATATCTAATGTCGTGATTTTTAAAAAAGATTTTATTCCATATATGAATTTATTTTGAGAGCATTTTAAATTCTGATAATGTAAAAATGACAATGAAATGGCCCCAAAAAATCAACAGACAATAATTTGTATTTATTATTGAAAAGAAATGGAATTAAATATTCAAGACCATTGAAAATGACATTTTTAAATAATTTTGATTAAGGGATAAGAATTCTGGCATGAGAGCAGATACATTTGCCTAACCTAATTATTGAAAAATGAAAGCATCTTGAAAGCCTTCACTTATAGAACCAACCTGTTGAATCACTATCAGCACAAATAAATAAAATAGTTTCATCTTTGATTTCCTCTAAACACATTCAGGATGATGCACAGCAAAATAAATAGCTGTTTTTTTTGTTTTTGTTTTTTTTGTTTTTGTTTTTTTTTTTTATTTAAATTTATGGAAAAAAAACCTAAGAATATTATTGGAAGTCTTTTAATAAAAATTTAATTAGAAAATTATTGAATAAGTATTAAAAAAAAATGTATTATAAAAAAAAAAAAAATTCTTCAATTCTCACCACAAACCCCTAAACCCTTCCAATTTGTGGATGGACAGGGCAGAGTTCATTCTGCAAGTGTTTTTTTTTTTTTTTTTTTTTTTTTTTACCCAGTGTATGAAAGTGATACTTTCTTTTGGAAAGTAGACTTGTTAACAAGCATTGTGACATTTTATCTGAAATTACAAGATCAGGTATTGTTCTTCAGACTAGTATTCTCATTTTCTTGTTTATATCATAATAGCCAGTGTACTCCCCAGCCTTCCACAAAAGTGTGTCACATCTGGTAACTTTGATGGAGTTTTGAACTCTTAATTTTACTCAGGGGATAATGATGTAGTCATGTCGAGCATCCTTCCTTGGGATTGAACTTACAACTTTTCTTTTTGTTTTTATGAAGTTGCATTGATCCAGAAGGTGATCAATTTCCTTATTGTCCTATAGGAATCATATACCAGCAATCCAAATGTTGCTAAATACAGCACTCTCTTGAGGAAGGCTGAAGAACACACTGGATAAAACCTTGTGGTAAGACTGCTAGTCTGATTAAAGTATGGAATGATAACCTTTTCTACACTCTGAGCTGCATACATACAGGTTTACATTCAAATTGACTCCTCCCCACCCCCCAAAAATTAATTAAAGATTTATTTGGAGACACCTGTATCTAAATCTATATAGACAGTTTTAGTTTTATTCTACTATTTCAAAGTCTAAATTTTTTTTTTTTTTTTTTTTTTCCTGTCCATCATGTACATAAAATAGTAAAACACTGTTTATCCTTCTCGTTTGTCCGGAAGTAAATTCTAATTGCAGACTTTTTCTCTCTCAACGATAAACTCTTTCCAGTTAGTCTGTAAACATTCCGGATTTTTTTTTTTTTCTTTTTCTTTTATTCATGGACACACACTCACTTCAGCAAAACAGGTGGGCACTTCTTTAGCGCACCTTTAGTGAACACCTTTTCTCTGTCAGTCTACAGAGCTTTATTTTCCTCAGAAACAGGTAAATTTTTTTTTTTTTTTTTTTTTTTTTTTTCGTTTGTATATTACAGCCTTTATTGGTTGTCTGATAGAATTGTCAGTAGGCAATAACACATTTGGGGAAAGATAAACTGTCCATTATATCATCATTGGCTTTGTTGTTTTGTTTTTGTTTCCTAATCATTACTACTACAATTGCTGCTCCAACTGCTACTACTAATGACAATAATAATGTTTGAGTTGAGTCTGTCTAATTATGGATACTCTCACTTTTTAATTTTTTTTTTTTTTTTAAATTGGTATCAAGTTTTTGGGGATCTGCAAAGTTTCTTGATTATATTTTCTGCTTTTCCTTTGTTACCTATTACTAGTTAAATCTCTGAAATAATGACCAATATTAATTAATATTGCTTTCTTTCTTCTCTTACTAAAGCCATAATCAGAAATATCCAGTGTATCCTGGAATTCCAGAATTGTCACTAGAGGTTACCCTGCTTAAATTAAAGTAAAATGATTAAAAAAAAAAAAGTCTCAATGTATACATGTCTTGGTCATTGATAAATAACCATCCTTGATTTTATACTATGACTATTAAATTTGTTTCTCTTCATCTACATTGTAATGCAGGCTAGTGTACATTATGAAAGCAAGCAATGCTTTTTCTGTTTGTCACTTGTAAAATAAGGGCAAATATTTTTACAATTGATTGTTATGTCTCTGACCAAAGTGCTACAATTAATTAGTAACCTTTATTATTCTGTATGTGACTCCATTTGCTGTACCAAAAATTTTATCCTGCCATTGAAGGTGACTCTGATTCCTGAACAATAGTGTATTTTAATTCCATAGTTGTGTTGTGAACAGAAAACAACTTTGAGTGAAATTAACAATAGGGTTATTGAAACTGAGAGGACTTGAAAAGTAGAAAATCATATTAATAATACAGCATGCTAAAGGAATTCAGTTTCTTCTAAAAGAGAATGGACATTGTCATGGAGGACCTGGAATGATATCCTCAGTCTCTTACAGGTCACAAGGATTTTAATATTTGAATTTAGTAAAATAAGTGTTTTTTTTTTTTTTTTTTTTTTTTTTTTTGGTCTTCTCACAATCTAAAAGTTTGTGTCACTCTGTCTGTATCCAGGTAAGATGAGATTGCTTAGGAAATGACACTGTCTAGTGTGTAAAATATGTATTCATTAACATCCACTCCTGTTTAACATCTATACTGCCATTGACTGCTAATTTATGGGTCATAACCCATTTGTGGAAAATAATTTCTTAATTTTTGCTTCTTTGCTTAGTTTAAATTTAACGTAGATCATATTTGATTGGTTGGTCTGAGTAAAGCCCAATAGGCCTTATAACCCCCTCCCCCCTTTCATAAAAGAGGTTGTATTTTGCTTTTAAATCTAAATAAATTGTTCACTTGCCAGTAATTTGCAATCTCCTGGAGTGTGTGTATATATAAACATAACAGCTGGCCACTCGTATTTGAGGATACCCATTTACTAGGGTGGCTAGCCAATCCGTAATTCAGACGCTCACTCAGGTACATTTGTGTTTGTTCAATACCCACAGAGCCCACCTGTGGTTTATGCTGCAACTATGCTGAGTGGACCATAGTTACAGTTTCTGGGATAGAGCATGTTATCTAGTGTGGTGAACAAGCCCAGCACACTCAAACCCTCAGTCACGATGACTTGTGACTTTGTGCTAGCACAGCTATCGACAGTCCCTCAAATGTTCCGTCTACCCAATTTCCCTCAATAGGGTTGGGTCAACCCATGGTATGGTTTTCAGGCACTTTCCAAAGGTGCTGCATGCTGGGATCACCTCCTCTCCAGACCTATAACCTCAGGAAGTGTTGAGATAGAGATATATATATATATATATATAACCTCATATATATATATATATATATATATATATATATATATATATATATATACACACACTCTATATTTTGTGAATTTCGATCTCTTTCTTCTCCATAGCTGTCAGTTTAATGTGTACATACAATAAGGGGTGTAAGAGATCAGAATTTGCTAAGGATTTTGAATTCTATTGAAAGTTCTTTATCACATAAAGCACTTTAACTATTATGCTAGATGTACACTTTGTGCAAATCTTAAATTATATAAATAATTTTAAATCACTCTGGAATTGTTGATAATTTATTACAAATTATTACTACTAAAACGAGTTTGATACTCACTTGGTGCTCCACACTTGTGGCCTTAGGCCAAACTAAGCCAATCTCAGTATACAGCTGTATTAAAAATGTCCACAGATTTTGATTACATTATTAAAAAATAAAAAATAAAACCTTGCTATTGTTGCAACTTTTAGTTTGAACACATAATGTACAGGCTTATCAAATCAAAAATTTTACTTACTTGTCTGATATCATAGGTAGGATTCATTAAATGTCGGTGCTTCCATGATTCTGTTCACTTTAATAATCACATAAAGTTGCATAGTAGTTACTAAAAGCCTCAATGTAGATGTCAAAATTTCCATTGTACATTTAGAATGCAACTAAATATTGAAAGTTCATTTAGTTTTTATTTTAATACTAATAATGTTTGAGAAATTGTGCACAAAATATCAGCTTCACAGGTTTGCCTGGATGATACATTTTAACCATTCCCCATTACAGAACAATTTTAAATTTAAAACTGAAAAAGCTCTGACAGGAAAATCAATGGCAGGGTTGAAGACTAAAGGTTACAGTTGTGTATGAAAAATGACATTCTGATAATATCCTTTACTTACAGTTTGTTGCAGCACTCACTTGATGTTATGCATTGAAAATCAGGAGAAAGGGATTGTTAGTGGTCAGGAATTGATGCATGCGTTACTGGCAGAATGGAATAGCTACATATTTTAGAAAAATCCATGACAAAGTGGAATTTTATTTTTTTATTTTTTTTTTTCCTGTATAGAGCATTTTGTCATTTAGGACTTCATTGGACTAAATTGATTTTTACATTGATGTGATTACACATGTGCATGAAGGAGAGAGGACACTGAAATTTTTTTAATTTAATTTTTTCCAAATATATAACTGGTATATAATGCGTTTGGCAGAGGAGAGGTATATTCAATATTTGATAATTTTGCAGCAATATGTGCTAAAGATTTTAGGCAGTTTTCATCAACATTTCTTTTCATGGTTAGCTCTAAGGAATTGTAAATGTAGGATTACCTTACACTTAAGTAAAATAACAATAATAATATCTATTAAGAATTTATTATAGGAAATATCAACTTTTATGGAAACATTGACAATTATGTATTTAGTTACATAACAAATAAATAAAAATATAAATTTTGATGCTATATTCAATTTGTTGTTAGGTATTTTTCATTTTCTCCTTTGTTATTGGCAGCATTTTAGAATACTTTGGCTGCAATGCTAAGTTTCCTAAGTTTTGACAAACTGGAGCTATTTCATTTATGCTTTGTTACCTCTCTTTTCCATTGTTGCTTTTAGATCACTTTCTTCCATTCATTTTGATAGGCGATAGCAAAATTCTGAAATTTAGAATGATCTTATTCCATTTCAAAAATAAATCCTTTAAAAAGGAATATTTTAAATTATTATATGACCAAAAATAAAATGCTTTTGACAAAAAACCTTAATGATTTTACCATCACCTCATTTCATTGCATGATTATGAACTATAAACCTAAATTGATCTTGAAATACTGTGTAATCATCTCTAATTTTTGTAAAGTACTTGGATATGATATAATGAATAATTTGCAGTGAAAAAAGCAATTTTTGATATTTTTTTTTTTTTTTTTAATACACCCCTCCTCTGCCAAATATATCATATAGTCTAGCTGATTTTTCTTTAGTTTCTTTTTCTTTTTGTCTTTATAACTTCTGTTAATAAATAGCCCACATTGTGATAATAGATCTGCCAAAATCTTTTTCATGGATTTCCCTAAAATGGTTCTTAACATTGTTTTCTCACACAGTTACATATAGTGATTTTCTAAGCATAGCTTAGATGTGGCACAAGGCTGAAAATATAGGGCACCCAGTGAGGATCGAACTCACTGCTCAGTCATAATTGTTCTAGTGAGACAAGCTTGTTAACCATTACACCGCCTTGGGGCGCCCCACAGTTACACATATATCGCATGGCTAATGAGAAAAAGTAGATTAGCACCAGTCAGGCATTAAAACAAGTATTACTCACAGAATGAATATATAATACTATTATAATTTTATTTTTCATAACCTCAAAAACTTTATGCTGTCAACTAAAAATAAAAAAGTGCATCTGCAATATGTTAAAATGCAAAGAATGAGCATGTGGGTGTGTATGCAATGCTTTGTTGAAAAGACTTTAGGACAAATGAGAACATGCTGCCATCTCCTTTGGCATTAACTTTTCCTTTATTTTTGGAAATATTATTTGTAATATAGAGAAATACTTTTATTATTGCTTACCTGAATTTTAAAAATTTTATTTTGCAATTTATCTTTCTTTCCTCATCTCTTGCATTATGCATTCTTGTCAGCCAATCCCCACCTGACATGTCCCCTTCTCTCTCTCTCCCAATATATAACAGCAGCAAATATATATTATTCAAAGGGTAATAAATATGCTATTATTGTATGCAGATTTATTTGAAAACAATAATTAGATAGGAAATCATTCTTGGATGATAAAATAACTTGATTTTTTTTTATTTTTTTATTAAATTTAACTAAAATAGAAGGATTTCTTTTGTGTGATCTTTAAAAAAATATTTATTTTTGCTTGAGGCATAAGTTATGGTCTCTTATTTCTGTTTTTGTACCAGCGTTGTTCCAAACTTTTCTTTTGAATATACATATAAAAAAAAAAAATTGAACAAATTCACAATTTGTCTTCACGATTTTCTTGTATTCTCTATTTAAAAATAATTCTCTTGAAACTTGTACTTCTTTTTAATTCTATTCATTAATTTCTTGTCAACGCTAAAACACAGTGACAGGTAACTTAAGACATTAATATGAAATTAACACTAGAATATGATTGATTTATTTTCTTAAGCTTATCAAGCCTTTGCAGATTATTTAAAGCCAGGATATTTTTTTTTAATAATGCTTTAATGAAACAAATCTTACGAATTCAACCATTGCTGTGAAGAGAAGTGGATTTGTACCTTTCCTAAGGGCATTTATGCATAAATTAATATAATGAATTTAACTGGACTTGAAACTTTGCTCTCTGATTAACAATTCAGTCATTATCTATTACACCACCTGCACATCCAAGCTTACATCACCTGGTATTCCAAAGGGGTTACCCATCTAGGTACTGACCAGACTCAATGTTGCTTAACTTCAGTGATCATACGGGAACAAGTATTTCAACATGATGTGACCATAAGCCCCTAACACTTAAATAAACTATGACTTCAGAATATAAACAACTCAAGATGTGTTTGCCAAAATCCCTTATAAAAATAAGTTTTGGCATCTGCATATATATTAACTTAAAATGTGTATATATCAGTATTAAGTTCACTTTAGTCTGACACACGAATGAGGCATGCTATTTAGCAACAATAAGACTAGCTTGCTCACCATTTTACCTATGGTAAACATGACAAAACTGACCTTAGACTTTACTCGAACAAGGTTAAAATTGGTGGGTGGGGACTATATATGTAATCATTAGTAATACTCTATAATTCAATAGAAAGAATTATAGAGAATCTCCGCTGATTGAAAAGTTTTGTTTACTTATTTTCAGTAAGTTTCTATGTTTACAGATTTAAAAAAAAAAAAAAAATGCAGATTTACTACAAACTGATATCTTTGATTCTACAAGAATGTGTGGGCAATCATCTATTTATTTTTTTACTTTTTTTTTTTTGCTCCCCCACAATGTGTGTGTTGAGGCAAGACATGACTAATGGAAGCCAAAAGGGCACCAGGAAACTGATTAAAAAAAAAACTAGTCTTTCATTCTGTGTAGTGAGTTTGATTAACACAGGGTGCTCAATACTTGTGCCAGATTAATGTAAACTTTATCAACACACAGAAGGTAGTGCTGAAAAGTTCTTGACCCAATTCACTTCCCATAACCTGGTCACTTATCAGTTATTTATTTTCTTTTTCTAATCAATTCACACCTAGCAAGGTAATAAAGCCACTCAGATGCAAGTAGCTACTGAGTGAAGGAAGCTGAGAAAATGTTATTGAGTAGAAAGGACAATAAAAGTTCAAGAAGACAGAGGATTATGATTAACATTGCATATGCATTTTTTTTGAAGATTGTAGTTGACAGAAAAGCAAAAAAGCCAGAAGAGTGAAAAGTATAAATTATTAGAATAGAATTTATCATTTAACAATTTCAGCGGTAAAATTATGAGACATAGCTGCCAACCTAGTACTGCACTTAAAGTCAAGAAGATGAGATACCAAATAGGAAAGCATATCAGGACAATTGCCATGAAAATACAGAAAAGTCACAAGCAAGCTACGTTATGGCGGTAGGAGAATGAGATGCAAGAACTTTTAAGCATGCCTTTGCGTATATATTGTGAATTTTTCATATGGTTGAAGAAGTAAGGTGAGACAAGCAAATAGCCTATCAGGTTCAACAAAAGTTCTAATCTTATTGTGTGTATTACAAATGAAGATACTAATGCTTATAGAAATATTTAACCATCAATACAACCTCCATTGATTCCTAGAACCTCATTCCATCTGTCAACAAGTTTATAGATGCCACGTTTGTGAAATTCTTTAGGCCTTGAGTTCAACATATATTCAACTTTTTCTCTTGACGTTAACCTGAGGCCATCCAAATAATCCTGCAGAACTCTAAACAAGTGATAATTAGATGGAACAAGGTTAAGAAAATATGGAGGGTGAAGCAATATGTCCCAATCAAGTTTATTAAAAAGAACTGTAGTCAATCATACAATTTGTGGACAGGGATTATCATGATGAAGGATTACTCTCTTTCTGTTGACTAAAGACAGACATTGACTAGATTGAGTAAAATTATATCTTGTGGATATATTAGTAGAAAATCATTTATGTATCTGAAATAAGAAGAATTTTGTGTTAAAATATTTTTAAAAGGACCACATTCCAGAAATTCTCAAAATAGACAAGCCAAAACACCACTGAGAGAAGACAACCATCAATAAACCAAATTTCTGTCTATAAAAATTGTTATCAAAGGTGAAAACATTAATTGGTGATTAAATGACACATTTTTATGATTTTGTGTAGGTGATTTTTGTTTTTGTTTTAGTTAAATGTGTTTTCAGTAAATTTAGACATTTCTTTACAGGAACATTTATGTATAAAGATTTTATACGCATTTGTTTTTGATGTCTATATTTTTAATTTATTCAAAAGATCACTCCAAGTTTTATTTTTATATGCCAAGAGTTAATTATACGAAGAAGTAGGGTTGGGAAAATCTGGAGAACGAAGCAATATTTTCCCCCCGAGTTCCTCAAAGTGATCTTTAGTCAAATCGTGCATTGAGAGGACAGGTATTAGAGGATTACTCTCATTCTGTTGACTAAGGATGTTTAAAACTGCTTTCAAACTACAAAGTTGTTGGTAGTAGAGATCAACATTGATTATTTGATTATTGTCTAACAGTTCATAATGGATGATTCCTTGAATATTCCACCATGCACTCAATATGATCTTCACACTAATGGGGGTGTCCAATGAAAATCAAACTCCCTGAATATTGTATGCAAGACAGAGTTGCTATCAATACACAGTAGTACATGTTTGACTGGTAGAGGGAGCCAAACCATCTGGGTTGGGCGATTTGACAATTTATGTTTCGGTATCGGTTACTTTTTTTTTTTTTTTTTTTTTCTTCTTGATACCGCATTTTTCATTTCGGTTTTTAATTTAGTATTTTTGCTTTTTAAGGAAACCATTCATTTTCTTGTGTAATGATAGGATTTCCAGTTGATATCTGATTTTAAGATGGATAAATTTGCAACTTAGTCCATTCAACTCGCAATTTATCATGTATTTCAGGCTCATTCATATGGGAGATGGCTGGAAAGAAAATAATCCTTTTAAATATGTAACTTGTATGTGCTTTTATTCATTGAATTATTTTTTTTACAGTATTTTGCTTTGAACAGCCAAAAATATGAAATATGATATCCCCCACCCCCGAGACTAAATTTTACCCTTACTTTGGTCACTTTGATTTTTCAAATCAATCTATATCAATATTCTTGAAATTGTACACCCAAGAAGACACATTAAACTACAACCAAGATGTTCATTTCTTCCCTGACCCATGGAAGCAAACTCCTTCAAAAATTATAAAGTAAGCAAAAAAAAAAAAAAGTGTCTGACATCAACAGACACTTGTTTTCGATTAAAGTTGTTTATTTATTAAACTTTTGAATAAATTGTCAATTATGAACAACTACCATATTTATTAACAAATTGGTAAAATACAAAAGAAATCGTCGTATAAACTATCTATATTTTTGTGTCTTTGGACAACACGTTTGAGAGAGAAAATGGTATAGCTCTCCAGAAATTAGTTTATGATATGGCTTTAAAAACCCCAAAAAATGAAACCCCTCATGTTTTTAAAAATATGGCAATTCTTTTCTGGTACACCAGCCAACTGTTAGTTTTTGCAAATAAATTTCTTCTAAACAAGGAAAATCAATGAGTTATTTTTTCCCCCTAAATAAATTTATGTTTATCTAGCGAATACACAAAAATAATTAAAACTTAAAAGCATTTTTCATTTTTAGAATGTGTAGATTTTCAAATCTGCGAGTATCACCTGTTCTTTTTTAGATACCCATTTTAAAACTGAAATTAGAAACTATTTTAATCTAATCTTACTTAAGTGTATTCACTAAAACCATAAAGATATTTATAAAAATAAAAATAAAATGAATTAATTTTCCTTGTTTAGAAGAATTTTATAGGCAGAACACCATCCGAACTATAATGGCTAAAAAAGAATAATTTTTACTTTGGGTTTAAAAAAAATGACTTAGTTTTGAAAATATACACATTTTAAACCTGAGATTAAAATTTACTTTATTTTTTTAATATTTAATTTTAGGCGTATTCGCTAGATAGAAACATCATTTTATTTATAGAAAGAAAACAATTTTTTAATTTTACACTAGAGACCCACATATCTGGAAATATTCAAATTTTAAAAAATGAAATCGAAAAAGTTTTTTTCGATTAAACGGTAAAAACCACACATCTCTAATATATATATATATATATATATATATATATTGTACAATAAAAAATATTAAAATCTTCAGACACTCTGGGTTGTATATTAATATTCCTTCGTTTTTATTATTATTTCATTTTCGAATGTCTTGAAGAAAATGAACTTTTGTCTAGTTTTCATTTGTTTTTTTTTTTTTTTTTTAACTGTGAATTTTGGTCAGTCTTTTTGTTGGTCAAACAGTCTCTTTTAAGTTGTTATTTGAGATAAGAACTGGATGGATTCATGCTACTCTGAATTCCCTTGGTCATTTTGACAGTTTTATTGGTTCCTGGAAAGGGGATGTGTCTCTGTTAAGTGTGTGTGTTATTTGGCTCATTAGGGAGTGAGTGAGTGAGTATGATGTGTGTAAGTGTGTATATAAACCCAGTGTGTCTGAAGATTTTAATTTTTTAATATTTTTTATTGTTCATATATATATATATATATATATATATATATATATAATCACGTAGAGTGCTTGTGCTAATAAAATAATGCTTGATGTACAATAACAGAGCTTTAATTAATAATAAATATACTTTTTTTCCTCACCAGTAGTACAACTCTGACTTTTATGCATGATGCAGTCAACAGGTGCTGATTGAAAATTGACATTGTGCATGAAACTCAGCTGTGCTACCGGTGAGAGAGAGAAAATATACCTATATATATTATATTTTTATTATAAAAGATTATAATAAAAACATTCATGTTTCAATACTATGATGTACTTCTTCAGGCAATGGTAAGTAACTGGTGATTAAATGATTTTTAAGGAAATTTAAAAACAAATCCCTCACCCCTTTAACTTTGGGAAATAAGAAACACTTTGTTTTTAAATTTCCTTAAAAAAATCAAGACAATAAAGTACATCCAACAGCAAGGCCTCTGATCAGGAGGTTTTGAGGAGCGTAGAAATACCTCTGAATTGCTGGTGTTCCCAGGTCCACCCTGACACAGGATTAGGGTCCCAGCTATGGGCAAATAGTTAACCCACAAACTGGCATCAAAGCACTGTGAAAGTGTAAAAATAGGTTTTAATACAAGCAATACATTTTTGTAAAAAAATTATTACCAGCAATACATTTTTGTAAAAAAAAATTATTACTAGCAATACATTTTTTAAAAAAAATAT